TATATATATATATTTATCCATGACACACACTCCAGTCATGCACTCCTGTAGAAAATCCCAGGATACTTTTGTTGATACAGATCCATTACATGGGCAACAGTGAAGCATGCAAAACTCCAAATTAGTAGCTTTAAGTAAAAGATTCTTAACTTTGCAAATTTCAAATACAACCAAGCTGTTTGTACAAAGGTGAAAGTGTGTAAAAGACACTCCAGTGCACATCAGAGGGGTGAGTTAATTTTAAATAGCTGCAATTTGATACCTCCTTCGTCAGATGGTCTTGTCACCTCACTGCAGCATGAAAAGCTAGGGTAGAGCTCGGAGATCTCTGACTTGTCATCTCCTAGACCTGTACCAAAAGTGCTGCTGGAATGAGAGCGAGACAGGTGTCTCTGGTACTGACTCGCCTTTTCTACATCAGAGGGAGAACATTCAGACACATGAATGAGTGACTGAGATAACAGATAAAACTTCACAGGAAAGCAAAAACAATCCCTGATTAAATACTAACTCCTAATCTCTGCTACTCTAAGGTTCTGGTCAACCATCCCCAGACTTAGCATGGACTGCATCACATCCATACAGGACCTAAAAGATATTTCTTCTCATTTAGTCTTTTGGGTTTGTTTGTTTGCTTTTTAAGAGACACAAGGGATAAGAGATGGACAAAAACTAAGAAAACATTAGAAAAGTAAAACAATTTCTTTGCAAGTGAACATCCGCTTTAAATACTTGCTTTCAAGTAGCCCTGCGTACACAGTACTTATATTTTGATTCTTTTGAGACTGTGAAATTAGACAGTAATTTTCAGACCACATTTGCTAAACATGGCTTAAAAGTCTAAATGTTTAGCCATGCTGTAACTATACCAAATCACTCATCTTCCCCCTTTAATGACAGACATGTCATCTAAGCTAACAGTCAAATAAGCCTCTATGGGAACTACCCATTTTTATTGTATAAGAATTAGGAGATAAATGCTAAACACCTGAAGCTTTAATTGTAAAGCAAGCATGATGCTGTAGAGAAACCTCACTGTTTTTCTATGTGTAATTTTTGAAACCTGACTCTAAAATATTATAATACTCAATTTCATGAAACAAATCTCCTTTCTGTCTCAGAAGCTCTTTGCAATCCAAATAACTAGATCTGTAGTCCCAGAAAGCCTATAGAATCATATTTGCCAATGAAAGGCAAATGTAAGTATGCTCTAGACACCATTTTAAGTGAATCTAGGACAAACTAATGTAGGATTTATTTCCAAGTTCCTTGGTAAGTTTTGTTTTCATAAATAACTAATGTTATTTTTAAGTGACATAGTACATTTCTTGGGTTTTCTGAATTTTCAGCTTTCAATTTCCATGGCATGTTTGCCACAGTGCAAGTCTATAATTCATCATCATTAACATTCATGACAAAGCCCAGGGAAACAGAGAGGAACTCAAACAATACCAGAGAGCATATGGAGACTTCTAGACTGAATATTGTCCTCCAGGGGGTCAATGTCGAAGATGGAGCCAGGGTCTGTTCGCCACACTTTGAGGTCTTTCACCAAAAGGAAGAAACCAAGAGATCAAGAAGGGGCTTTGAAAATTCAGCATGGAAGTCACTCAAGCAAAGGCAATATGCTAAAAGTGGCCCAGTGCACTTCAGAGCCCAGAGAACAGTGGGAAGCAGGGGTGGGGTGGAGGCCTCACTTTCATATGTAGCTGCCAAGGAAAGTTTGTCATCAAATTTGAGTAGCCTAGTTTCTTCACAGTCCAGCATGGGTGTCTCCATAAAGCACCATGTGACACAGCCCAAGGCAGATTCACATATGGCTGCCATATTGTTTCTTACAGCATCCCAAACCTCTGTACTTCTGTGCTCCTCCCAAGAACAGTGAACATGTGCTTGATGTTCCTGCCTATAGACACCTGAGTATTCATGGGAAATGACAGAAATGGTTGTGTTTAAAACTGTTCTCTCAGTGTAACAGGAAAGAATGTTGGAAATGTAGGCAAATGGTAGGTTCAGTTTTCATTCCAAGACTAGGGTCTGTGGGAGCAAATAAAGCAATGTAGGACACCTTTATCACCGATTCTAAAGGAACCATGAGGGATGGGGGCACGGAGGCATGAATAAATAAACATGGTTGCTGCCCTCAATGAACCAAAACTCAGTTTACTTCTGTGTTTTGATGGCATGTTGCCATAGTTTATATCTGAAGTGTCCCCCAAAGGTCTATGTATTGAAGACTGCTTCACAAGCCTATGACATTATTCAAAGCTGTAGAAATGTTAAGACACCTCTCACTGGTGAGAGGAGTTAGGTAATTGGGAAGTTCCCTCTAAGAAGATCTTGGACAAGCCCACCCAAGTCTCCATTGCTTCCCAGTGGCTGTCTTCCTCTGTCACACACTCTGATGGCACTATACTGTTCTGCTACTGCTACAGATCCAAAATCAACAGAGCCAAATGACAATGGGCTAAAACCTCATGCTGTCAGCCAAATGAACACGGTCCTCTTTTAAGTTGATTTCTCAAGTAGTTTGTCACAATTGCAGACATCTGACTAACAAAGATGGAGGCCAATATGCCCTACTTTTATTGTAGCTGCAGGCAAAGCTCAAATTATAGAATTTCTGAATGCATTTGTTGTTACAATGGTTGGACCTAAGAGGGCTGTCCAGTGATAAACAACTGGGAAGTAGGTACCCAGTTATGGGAGAAATGATGAGAGACTAAAGAAACAGCAAACTAAAAGCAGAGTTTCTTAGCTATTATACACTGTGGAGTATACACAAGCACTGTTCTGTCAGGACCTATCTCATTGAAGCATCATATATACTACTCTAGGTACTGTTGTTGTTATCATTTCATAGGTAAGGAACCTGAGGCTCAGGTTGGTCAGAGAGCTCTGCCAAGTTCATCCAACCAATAAGCAGCAGAGCCCCACAACAAAAATAGGACCAGCACTAACTATCTTGACCTGCATTAACCAGCAAATATATGAATTTGTATTTCCATGCATGGTGTAGTCCCTGTCTCACTGGGCAGTTTAGTGTTGGTCAAATGTATTTCATTTTATGACTTTATAAGCAAGTCTTCATGGACACTGATTTTTCCCTGTAAGAAGAAACTGACTCCTAGATTACCCACTGAATAAATAATTTTAGTTATAAATCTATATTTTAAAAGCAGTGATAACTGCTATAGAAAATACTATAAATACTAACTCTGAGAGCCCTGTCTAGACAGTTTCATAGTTTTTAGCAATGATTTCACCATCATTCCTGGTCCCTGATCTTTGTAAGACCCCAGGGTGAGATGAATCACACCACTCCGTCCTATGAGTTATTAGCACAAATCAATGAAACTCTCCACTTCTGCATCACTTTTACTGAAAACATCATAATTCATTCATCCATCTTACTATGACCCCTTTAAGTCATCAACCTGAGAAAATGAGCAAAGCTACTAATAGCCTTCAAATAGGTCTGGAGAGTTTCTTTGGAAAATACTGTTTCCCTTTGGTAATGATCCAAGTCACTCAGGGCCCTTGTGACTTGGATCATGCACTTCAGATTAATAAAGTGAGCCCTCACTCACTTTAGACTTAAATGTTACTCTGTCAAATAAATGCTTCCCCATCCAACTCACCTCTCCACGCCCTGTCACTGCTGTGACTCTCAAACAGAGCTCTTCCCCTCAAGAAGAAGGTAACCTAACAGTGAGGTTACAGAGAAGTATAAGCCATGGTTGCCAAAACCTCTCTGTGATAGTTTGGATTGGCTGTCAATTTGACAGAATATAAAGCCTTTAAGGAGGCAAATCTCTGGACACACCTGTGAGGGGTTATCTGGATTAGGTTGAGGTGGGAAGACCCATCCTAAATGCAGGTGGCACCATTTTATGAGTTGTGGCTCTGAAGTGTATAAAATGGAGAAAGAGAGCTGAGTATAAGCAGTCATCACTCAGTGCTTCCTAGTCATGGATGCAATGGACCGCAGGTACTCCCACCATAACCGCATGGGCCAGACTATGCCCTCGAACTGTGAACCAAAATGACTCCTTCCTTAAGCTGTGTGTGTGTGTGTGTGTGTGTGTGTGTGTGTGTGTGTGATCACAGCAATGCTTAAAGAAACTACACAGTGAGCAACGCAGCTGGAGTAAGTATAAAACTTCGGAGGCTAACTACAGCAAAAGAAACAAGGCTCAGAGTTTCCTTTCCAGCCTGCTTATCCTTCAGTCTGATTTCTGCTGATATCTCAAGTCACATCCCCTAGGATTTTCCGGACTGAATGGAAGAAAAAAGACACAATGAGGAGAGAGCTCCCCTCTAAATAACCAGGCTTTCTAGCAGCCCCCAAATATCCTAGTTCAGAACCACAAAACCACAAACTGTTCATGTTACAGAATACCATCAGACCCTCTGTTTGATGACAAAAAGATGTAAGTGGGAAAGGACTATTCTGTCTCCCATGTACATGATGTCTATGGTGTAACACTTTTACCAAGCAAGTACACAGGCTAAAGGAAGCCGAATGTTCAACCATTATAATTTGCTCCTCTCTGGGATGATGCTGTTTAACAAGGCAGTATTAAACAGAACTTTCAAGAATAGAAAGTATGGGCCATACTATTATCTGAATTTTCTGGATCCCTGTCAGCACCATGCCAGAGCATTTTACCTGTGATCAAGTTGGAATTTACATCAATCCTGTGAGGTCAGATGAACACAGAAGCAAGTTCCAGAAGCAGGCCTAGCCTTTTGACCATGCATATCCATGAGAAGACCCCACACTTACCAACGATGATCCCAGGTCTCCTGTCCATCTCCACGACATGAGGCTGGACACCTTTATAGGCAGCATCGCTCACAACCTGGGTGTTCTTCCTCGCCCGCTCCATCACAGGATCATCCACAACAGGAGTGAAGCCTCTCCCCTTTGTCTTCTCAAAATCTTCATGATATTTGACCTGAAAAAGAAAAAGAATTCAATTCAAACTGAAATTCCTGATTGTCTCATAAAACGATAGACCACATAAAGTGCACCTCCGTTGTTATATATCATAAATATAATACAGTATGATATGCTTGCCCAAATACTCCAAAAACAACATCAGAAATCAAGTACCAATAATTTTATATTTTTAAACACTATAAAGAGCATCTCCTTTAAAAGATATGTAAACCTGTATATTAGTAAGGTATAAAAGACAATTACTTTAAAACATTAGTTACTTCCTGAAACACACAATTTGACTACAAATTGATTTCCTATCTTTCACCTGCAATATACAATAGTGACAAGTTATTTGAGCATAATTCTTCAATATGACAGTGCTACTTAAAATTAGATTAAGAGAGTTGTATATATTATGTAAATTTTTCATATAAAATTATTAAAATTGTGTATATGACATACATTCATTTTATGTTCTGAAATTCAAAGAGGGCAATAATTATAACACTCTGAAATTACACTAGCTTAAACTAAATTCACTTAAATGGGTGAATTTTTTGTTAAAAAATTTGACACAAAACTGCTTTTGACATACACTCAAAATATTCTTTATAATATGCAAATATACCAAAATAGGTCTTTAAAAAGTAAGTAAAAACCAGAGTCTAGATAAATGTCATTCACAAATGTATTTATAGTAATCAAGTTAGAAATAAAAGCACACCAAAAATAATTGAGGGGAAATTATTTTATTAGAAAAAACATTTTCATTACATTTCTGTGTAATAATAACACTGTGCCCCCCCAAGGGCTCATTCACAATCCCATGCTTTGTTAGTTGTCCAGATTAATAGTGAACCAATGCCATCCAAACACAGGTCTTGCCATTCCTTAGTATGTTTAAGTCATGGAGACAACGATCTTTCACATCCTACCATGGAAGCATGATTTTGTGCTTCTTTAACATGTCTCAAAGCAGGTGTATCTAAGATCAGACATGGTCTACCTTTCATTTGTTTGTGGTCCTGCGTGTATTTCACCTACAAAAGAAACAGCAGACATCCATGAAACTGGATAGCTATAATCTAAAAACTGCATAATATCGTAAAGCTTTTCAAATGGGTAAGTCATGTATGACCTACCAAAATTATTTCCCAGGTAACTTTTCTTTCATGGGATTACATTTTGTTCCAGATTAGTTACTTAAAATTACACTGGTGATGATTTCCCTTAAAAGTAGTGCATAAAGGACTTAAAGCTGTCAGCAGGAAATAAACATGTGTGCCCAACAGTCAGTAATAACTACCAGTAAACCTGCTTCACACATTTAAACAGGGCAGATACAACATGGACTAGAGCCTGAATGTATTTTCTGTTGCTAAGCAATTTTTTGCTCTGAGAGTGCTGAGGGAGGCACACGAGACGTCTTCTGATTTTCTTTACTTTTTTTCCCTCACTAGAGAATGGGGAACAACCAGGAACAGATCTATGTTTTCTTCTGGGCAGCTATAGCTTAAAGACAATTGATGTTGAATATGCCCAATCTCCCTGGGCAGGAATGCTATGACAGAGCTGTCAATTATGAGTCCCATATGCTGCCCCCAGGCATGGAGATCTGCTGGGTATGCAGTGAGTGGGGCCCGATATTCAGATCTGTGGGCATTTGAAGGATTCCTGCAGTGGAGCCCTGGAGCCCTGGAATTCACTCAGGCAATGTGTGCTCACTGTGGACCATTTTCCCTACTAACTAAATTCTATATTAAATGCACTAAACTTTTTATCTTCTTATTTTGAATTACTCATTTCTAAATTTGTTTTTGTTGAAAACATTTAACAACTTATGTTCAGTGAAGCACATCAATACAATGACAATTTTTTTAACTTATACATCAAAGACTTGGTCAATTTCAAAAATACTGGATAAAATAACATGAATCATGGCTTAATAAACTATAGATACAACTATCAGTCACATCTGGGAATATTAATAAGGGATTTCACGAAAATGTAAATGTACATAGTGAGAGCTTTTGAAATTCATCTGTGACCGCGTATGTGTTTATTGGAAATAAATTTTATTTATAAGACAATAAACAATACAAGTACACTGTAAAGGATTCATCCTTTGCAATTGTTCAAAATGAATTAAAACCACTTGCCGAACTAATATTTTCTTGATTCTTCTTTACTCTTTCCATTTCAGGAGTTACGCTTAAAGCAGTAGCCTTTCCAAGTTGACCTTTATAATAAACCTACCATTTCAGAGAAGAAAACCAGAAGATTGTGAATCAGTTTAACAAAAAAACAATCACGTCATATTTAATAAAGGGCTAGCCAAAGACTGGAACTCATTAAAGCAAAGGAGAAAAGGAGGAGAGGGCAGAGGAAGGGACTTGAAATGCTTTCATCTTGGAGCATCTATTTCATTTTGGCATAGCAGTGTACTTCTTCTCAATCACTGTGGATAAGCTCAACCAGATCACCAGTAAGCCTGGAGTGAGCCTTTAATCACAGATTGGTATGAGAAGAGATGCTTTGTGGATATTACAAGTCTTGTTTGAATAGAATGGTATCACATAGCTGTGTTTTCTCAGAAATTAACTACAACAGAGCCCTGAATGGATGTATTTCACAAGGTACCATGGAAAACCATGAGAAGACATCATGTTTCCCTCTATTCCATTCCTCCTTTTCACTAACCATATCCCTTCTTTATAATCATAGTGTCCTATCAAGTATGACTGGGAAGAAATGAGTATCTCCTCCTCCAAAAAAAAACTCTTAGGAAAAGTAGCAAATGATAACCTGCCTTTGACTCATAAATTAGTCAAACTGCTTTCTGAGTTTTAGGCATAAAAGATGTCTTTGAAGATTACTAGATTTCTGAATTTCCTCTTCCAAGGAGCCCACTCTGTATGTTAATGACTTCCTAAAAGGGTGCTCTCAGTGAACTGTGGGTGTGTTATATAAACAGAGGGATCTAGAGTAGTCCACGAGTCTAAGTAAAAATGCTGCCTTGGGCCAAGAGCCTATTAACTAGTCCATTTAACATGTTATATCCAGTCAACCACACATACTTCACCATTTTCCCCTAGAAACATAGTAATAATCATCACAAGTGAGAGAAATGGCCAGGAGGGGCCTGACAAGCAAGAACTCAGGCAGGTAGGAAGCAGAGCAAGCTAGACTGAAGGACCAAGATGCCAGAAACTACCCCAGTCTTCGTAGGCAACCACAGCAGTCACCAGCATGAAAATATAATGAGGAGGAAATACCACAAATTTCGAGACAGTCATCATAATACAGCCCTGCAGACTGCAGCACCTACCACCCTGATACTGTCCTCCGAAGAAGCTGCCAGGCAACTGAGGCTATCAACTCAGATGCGACATCTCTCTAGTACAGTGGTTCTCAACCTGCCTAATACTGAGGCCATTTAATATAGCTTCTCATGTTATGGTGACCCCCACACATAAAATTATTCTGTTGCTACTACATAACTGTAGTTTTGCTGTTGTTATGAATTATAATGTAAATATCTGATATGCAGGATGTCTGATATGTGAACCCTGCTACCTTGATACACTTCCCTCATGTGCATATTGAAACATTTGATATCATTAAATACAAATGATAAATACTGAAATGTTCACACATTACTGATATTCTTCTGGTTTTCTTTCACTCTCTTCAACTCTGGGAGATCCGAAATGGATGTTGCCTGTTTTAGCTCTCCTTTGTATTTGACCTATAGAGGAGATATAAGAATTTTCATAAATAGTATAAAGGGCTCCAAGTGACTACCACAAGGTCTGGAGCTCAAATCTACTATTGCTTTTTACACAGTGGCCTCCTGTTGACCGAACTCAACTGATCAAGAAGTGTTGATGATGATGCTTAAAAGCAGTCTGTTTCATGTCAAAGCTAACTACAAACTCTACAAAGAAAAGCAATGGAGATAAGAGAAGACCCTTAAAAAGAAACACAAGAATGATGCCATGACAATGAACCAGAATTAAGGCCCCTTGGCAGGCTGGGAAAGTGCTTTAGTCTGCTGCTGGCCCCCGAGTTTCCACCATTAAAATGCCCCTGACTTCTTCATCTACCTTCAGAGGTATTAAAGATACACTACATTGACCTCCACCTGAAAGCACATACTCTTACATTTTAAAGTCTTTCAAAATGCCAGTTTTGCAAGAAAGAGGCTATCCTCGATATTGAGGAAAGTTAAAGGAAAGGAGGGGGTTGACAAAGGGTAAAAGGTAACTACTTGGGGTTCCCCTAAAGGGATTTCTAAATTCCAGGAGACCTGAGTTCAAGTCCCAGATCTTCCCTAACTTGCCATGAATTCTTGGCATGGTCTCTGGCTCCTTGAAATTCAGTTTTCCACATCCAACAGTCAAAGAAATGAATAATGCTGTGCTCAGGCATTCACATGTACTATTAAAAAAGGAAGCTAACTTAGAGCAGAGGTCCATCTTGGTTGTTAACTAGGACTGATTTACTACAATGGATTATTAAATGACTGGCTGGTGTCTTCCATTCACTTATAAGGAGCACTGTCTTGGCACTGCATCATAGAATGCCTGTCAAGGCAAGTCTTCTCTTGCCCAATCTCTAATACTGTTTTCCCCTCCAAACCATTAACCTCTCTACTTCCCAGCTTCTTACAGAAATGCATTTTTAGAGATGTAACAGCAAACTAGAAGTTTCACAATGGAAAGATGTGGCTCTTATGGATCTTTGTGTCCCAGTGACCAGGACAAAGCCTGGGATGCTTAATGAAGACCTCTTGAGTAAGAAAGTGTGATGCAAACTCCTTGACTCACCAAGGGTCATACTTCATGCCCTTCAACGTTTGAATGTGTGAAAGCTTTCCCAAATGTATAGAGGGCCACTGATTTCCAAAGTCCCTTTTAAAAAGAAAACTACATCATGTCAGATAAAGCATGAAAGAAAACAGAATGACTTGCCGCACTCAGCTGCTCCTGGTTCCTCCTCACTCTCTCTATCTCTGGGGTCATGGTTACTGGCGTGGCCTTATAGTTTTGGTCTTTATACTGGAGCTGGGGAACAAAGCATAAGGCAGTTTGGAATCAAGGGAAATAAATGTTTACCACTGGAACATATTAAAGGAAATGTCACATGTCACAGATCATTAGTATTTTATCATTTCCCACATGATACCAATATGCACTTTAAATTACTTAAATTTTTTCATACAATGGATTTTTATCATATTCTTCCCATCCTCTGCCTCCCAAACATTCCCCACCTCCCTACCTACCCACTTCATGTCATTTTCCCTCAAAAAAAACCCCAAAGAAACAAAAAAGCAATAAAACTAAAAATACCAAAACAAAATAAAACAAATACACATAAAACAAACAAGCAAACAAAAAAACAACAAACATGGAATCTGCCATGTTAGCCAGCTACTTGTGGTCACAGAGCCTGGCCTATAATGTGCTTGATACTGCATTAGACACAGCTGATTTTTCTCTTTCTCAGCAAGTATCCATTGGAACTAGCTGCTTGTGTAGGGGGAGGGCTTTGTGTTCACTTCTTCCAGATCTCAAATTCTTGAGACCCTAGTCCCCTAGCTTTTCCTTGTCAAACGCTCTCTACATTATTCCTTTCGTTGCCAATTTTTACACTATATAATTTATTGATGACTAATTATTTGCTCTCATCAGTAATAAGGAATCATCCCTTCTGTGAGTTCACCGATTCTTGACATTAAAGCAATGTTTACTAAACTGCCATATTATGTTTAAAATTATTTATTTTCATCATCATTTAATAACAAGTCACATTAAATATAGACTCTTGCCATCACTCAAAGCATTGAGAACAAAGGTGGCAAAAATCCCTCGCCTCTACTTCAGGGGTATACTGCCTCTACTACCCTTCCTCACAGGGACCTCGTTTCTCTCCAAGTTCTAGTGTTGGAGGGCCTGACACTGGACCTAACACTTACAGAACATGACCTGGCCTCTGCATAGAGATCTTTCTTAGATGAGGGAAGAAAAGGGAGATGACTTCACTATCCACAGTCAACTGTGCCAACAATTCCACAACATCTCGAGAAATAAAAGAGTATCAAACACAGAGCAATGGGATGACATGTCTGCTGAGAGTTCTGACAACTGAGGTAGAGCTGAGAGAGAAAATCCTTTTTGCAAGGAGCTGTGCAGTGACAGTCAGTGCATTTTCAGAGTTTAAATTCAGCCTTAAGGCTTACATAGACCTTGCTCTTGAAAAGCAAACTCTTATGAAAGAACATGAAAATGAAGAAAAATTTGAGAAGCCTGAAAAATAAATGGAAAGAGATGTATTTCTTCCAATATACCTTCTCCAGAAGGAGTGACATTCATTTTACTGTTGCATGTAAGAGTTTAGGCAAGTTCTCTGGATGGGAGTGATAGAGTTACAATGAGAAATGTTTCAAGTAATCTTTATTGGTGGAAATATCATTTATGTTAGAGCTTGAACTAAAGATTTGTGGAGCTGCATTGCTGACAGGAAGAAGCTACAATTGCCAGCTCATGAAAACCCAGATATCAATTGAATGGGAGACTCTTGTCCTAATTCTCCTATTCATCAATTTGACATGTACTTTAAATGTAATATCTCTTTGGTACTCTAATCTTTGCTTTGTAGGAAAGGAAATTTTATAGGTAGCAGTCTATGAAGAGTATATAACAAAGTCCAGAGCTGGAATAAAACCTATCAGTTCTCTAGGGTCCATGTTCCTCTCCACCACTTCAGTGTTAACTAAACAACCTGGATTCTGTCACTGTCATGCATGGCACACCATGTAAATTCTATAGCATCTATGATATTATACCCTTATTGTTTTCAAATCAAGTTAAGAGAGAATTGTTGTGGAATATTAGTTTAATATGTGTTACATTTGTTTATGCTGTGGAACATTTGTTTAATGATGCAAAGATGCATTGCATTCTTTTATGTTATTTTTATTTAATTCTGTGAAGCTGTGTTGCTTTGCCTGTCTGAAACACCTGATTGGTCTAATTAATAAAAAGCTGAATGGCCAATAGCTAGGCATGAAAGAGAGGACAGGCAGGACTGGCAGGCAGAGAGAATAAATAGGAGAGGAAGAGATAAGATCAAGGAGTGAGAAGAAGAGAAGGAAAGAGTACACCAGGGTCCAGCCACCCAGCTACACAGCATGTCATAGAGTAAGAAGTAAAGAAAGGCATATAAAATAGAAAAAGATAAAAGCCCAGAAGCAAACGGCAGATGGGATCATTTAAATTAAGAAGAGGTGGCTAGAAATAACCCAAGGTAAGGCTGGGCATTCATAGGACAGAATAAGACTCCATATATTTTTGGGGAGCTGGTTGGCAGGCCTCCAAATAGCCCAAAGTGTAAAAACAACCAACTACAGAGTATTGTTTCTATCATAAATGGACAACTAACAACCTGTTTTGGGGAGGAGAATGAGGAGAAGTAGTTGTTGAATAAAACAATTTAATCACTAAATCAAAGACTGAGCAATACTGGGGCTGTTAACATACTCTTGAATGGGACTCTCCATTCAACACTAGGGACTCTCCATACTACAGTCTTATGCTTGGTATTGCAACTCCTGCCCCACCATCGCCTCCTGCCGCTCTTCCTCCCAAGAACTCATCACTTAAGTCCTCTCCCTCTTGAATAGGCTTGGGTCCTGAAAATTTTAGTCTTCTCTACCAGGAAGACCCTTCCTCACAAAAGCAACCTGAAATCATTCTTGAGTCTCTAAGACAAGACTGCAGTGTTGTTCCTTCTCCAAGACTGTCCCTCCCCTGCCCCACCCTCCGTGACATACTATTCCTCCTCTGCATTTCCAGAACACTTTGAAATTATTGCTTATGGTTAAAAAAGATAGTACTTATCAGGTATTCAAAAAATAGTAACTAGTAAACAAATACAAATCACTGTGACAGTATGTAAGACAATGCATAATAGCAATTTATGCCCTGTTTCTCCTAGAGGCCTTAAGACTACCCACAACCACTTGTAGTCTGTCTCACTCACTGAATTCCCCCTAGAGCCCAAACAGAGCAGACCTTCAGTTAAAAAAAAAAAAAAAAGCCCAAGAAGAAGCAGTATGGAATGTTATCTCCACTTCCAAGAAATGACCCCACACAGTGACATTCACTGTAATGAGATTTCACCTATGCAGGTGCTGTGCTCCCATCATGTATGGTATTTTAATAATACAGAAAAAAAACACTTAAGGAAACATGATCACATTGCAGTTCTGGTTTTATTTAGCTCTCCTTAGCTTGGGAGGATCTGAAATGCTTGTTACATGTTTAATTCCTTCTTTGTGTTTCACCTGAATAATTTATTTTAAAATATAGTTAATTTATTCTACCCAAAGCTTAAGATAGTTAAGAATTCTTCTATTGTCACTGCTGTATAATTGGATTTTTTGTTCCAATATTATATCCCCGTTAGTAGGAAATGGTTTCTTATTTCCTCATGCTTTCTGGGTTCTTTATTCTGAAGTACAAATAAATTCATATCTATCAATCACTATATGCATCCTTCAGTTAATATAAACAATCATTGCTTATAACCAAAAGCTTTATAATTAAACATATATACAACATGTCTTGGAAATTATCTTAATATAATGATATATTATTTTCTATCTGAGAAGCAGTTCTATTTATTAATGTGTTAATTAGAATTTAACATGCATTTAAAGGTAAAAATCAAATTGAATTATCCCAAGTCTTGCAAATATTGATATCTTACTGGGAGCACACAGGTAATCAAATAGAACAACAACAACAAAAAATGTGGCTACAAAAAAGAGAAAGGGAAGAGGCTCATGTCTCTTCACATCCTCTGCCAGCTAATGGCATTTTCCTGGGAGTCTGGGAAACTTTACACATAGGCAGTAATTGGTCCAATTGGGGGTTGCTGACTAGAATTATCAGCACCCTAGTTCTGGTTTCCTGGTGAAGTGCTGAGATATATGCAGGCACCACACTCCCTTGCCACACAGTAGCCTGCAATCCAGTGTTCCCCACCATGATGGACTGCAGTCCCTCAAACCAAGCGCCAAAATGGTCTTTCCTCCTTTAAGTGGCTTCTTGTCAGGTGTTTGATCACACCATGGAAAGCTGTAACTAGCACACCCTGTAACCTGACATTAATTCCATCCACTAATTTCCCCTTCAAGTAGATTTACTTAAGAGAAAAATCAACTGGAAACATGATAATACATGGAGCAAGAAAACAAACTAGCAAGGTCTTCCCTTTTAGGTGGCATTTTGTATCTAAAACTCACAGAAGACTAAACTCTAGGCAAAGAGAACCTAACTGTGTAAGAATGGGAAGTGCACACTGAAATTTATCAAAGATTTAAATCTACAGTAAATGGGTTTGAGAAATCACTTGGTAATACTTAAAGCTAAGATCTAGGCTGGCATAGAGCACTAGTCCCTCAAAGTCTCAGGTATCACCCATCTTAATATCTGTGGATTTAAGTGAGTAAAGAGAGGCCAGTCTCAACTCAGATCCAAAATAGTTAAATGGAAAGTTCACTGAGACAGGTTTCCTCTAATGAGATTCAAAAACAGATCTTAGCACAGAGAGCTAATAGCAAAAAGGCTTGTCCTCAGAGGTGGAAAATGTCGGGATGTTGAAATGTTAGTGAATCACCTCCTGGTTTGACAGATCAGGATGATCTTGAAAGGCCAAGTTTCCATTAGAATATTAAGTAGAGGGTTATAGCCCAACCTCGGAGACACAGAACTGTGCATTTATTGTTTGCTAGAAAAGACTGAGGGAGAAAAGATGACATACTGCACTGCTTTGTGTGGTTTTCTTGTGGTGAAAAGCCCAGCACATTAAAATTGAGTATTTTTGTTTTTCAAGATGCTAAATAAAAACAGCACAGTCATTTCCCTGAAAGGGAATTACTAGACATCATACTCACTATAACATTTGTAGCTGATGACATTGATGGGTGCATTTCAGACACTGTCATTGCAAAGTGAAGGGATGCAACAGTTTACTTATCTTCCCCAAACTAACTTCTTGGCCAGACTCAAGTAGAGCATGATTCAGAGTCCCACTAAACGGAACAAAATGTAATTCACTCTAAGCCAGACCTCAACCTCCAGGTCCTCTCTCTAGCTGTCATCCTCAGGACAAGACTTCCTTCATGGCAGAAAGATTTGACTGCACTAGCACTCTGAACAGTTTTTATAATTTTGTATTAAAGTACACATCACCTTGCCCCTCCTGGAATTCCTTTTCCAACAGAAACCACCACCCAGTCACATGCTCAGGATACTACCTTACTCTGAGTTAGCCCTGATGCATGTCATGAAAGCAGTTCTATTTGGATGGCTTAAAGGAAAGTTCTGGAAGGTTGTGTCTCCATGACTAGAGGTGAAGAGATGATTTGGGGGATGAATGTTAAGGAAAGCATCATTTCCCACACCCATGGCAAGAAACTAAATATATGAAATGCACACAGATAAACACCCTCCCTCCTGAAAGGACAAGGATTATCTATTGTTCATGTCAAGCAGTAAATGGGAGAAATTTCTCCTACAGCATTAAACATCTCTCCTGCCCTTGCCCAGAGTCAAAGGCATCATAGGGTACAATCTCCTTATAATTTATACTCAACAGATGTATTTTTCTTTACTGAGAAAGTAAAGGGTAAATGAAGCCAGAAAACAGAAATGTGGGTACAGAGCTGTGTCTGGAAAAGGCTCAGAAATATGATTGACACACGACAAAAATGAGTTGGTGCTATATTAAAAACCAAATCAATACCACTTCAGCTACCAAACAGTGAGCCCTTTGATCATTTCACTGGGGTACAATTCCTTTGCTCCAGGAGGTGGGAAAATATTCGAGGTATCCCTTCTATATAAAATATAACACAGCTAAAATTCTGTTCCAAAAGGTGAAATGTAATCCTAGATTTTATTGAAACGCTCCATGCCTTCTTTTCTTTGTTCTAAATGAAATGAAATGGAGCTTGAGGCTGAAGGGGAACAAAGCTGCAGTTTTCATTCTGGAATTTAGACCTTTGATGGTTGATGACAACATCTTTCAGGAAAGTGAAGAATAAAACACAAAAAGTGACCTGCTAAGAGAAGAACTAAAAACACCCATGTAGCCCCTCTTTCTGGGAAAGGACAATTAGTGCTGTGGAGAACTTACTGAACTGATATTGTGCTGGGTTTTTTTCACTCGTTCAATCTCTGGAGTATTACTTAGGGCTGTACCAGCTCCTACTCCTTCCTTGTAAGACACCTTCATAGCGGGGAAAGGAAAATAAGAACACTAAGGTTATTAGAATTCAAGTCCTAGATCTACCTGTTGCAAATCAAGACTATTTCTCAGGTTTTGCAGTAGTGTGAATACTGGTTTTTTTTTATGAGTAGCAATATTGCATGAATCAAGGAAATAGCCCATTATGATAATAAATGCCAACTTTGGTTTCCAATCTCATAACCTCCTAGTCCAGTTAATACTTGTTCTAAAGCATGATGTATAATGATAACTCTTTCCGCAAGCCTCCTGAGTTCCGCTGGCACATTAGGGCCCCCAGATAACACAAAGAGATTCATATATTAGTTACAATGCTGCTAGCCAATGACTAGGATTTCTTATTTGCTAGCTCTGTCTTAAGTATCAACCATAACCATTAATCTACATATTTTATAAAGACTTACCGAGGACATCAGTGGCATGTGTCCTCTCTTCCTGGGATCACATGACGACTCTCCTCTTTACTGCATTTCCCAGAATCCTCCTTGACTACTAGCCCCACCTATCTTGCTTTCTTGTTGGCCAACAGTGCTTTACTTGTCAACCAATAAGACAAACATATATACAGAAGGACTTCCCCCATCAATGATGAGTACCTTTGCTGGGAGCAGATTATTTGCCCAGTTAATACTTGTTCTAAGGTATGGTGAGTACCCTAGCTGGAGGCAGATTATTTGTTCTAAGAATATAAATTGGCAATCTACAATTCCCTGCTTTGAATATAAATATATGGCAGGACAGCCAAGACTGTACATAGAAACCCTGTCTCAAAAAACCAAAATATATGTAGATAGATATAGATGGTATAGGTATACGGAATATGTGTGTTTGAGAAAAAGCATGTTAGAGAAATTCACTCAACAGTTAGCATCTAACCCCAAAACAAGGGTTCCTTCACACCACTGCTAATCTTCCAAATACAGAAGTAGCTTAGCTGGGATACTTGTGTCATAAGTAAACACTCTATCACCAGTATCAGCCTTGACTCACCCTCCCCTTTGTTGAGTTATTCAAATCTCTCCACCCCTGACATCCACCCCTGACATCTACCCCAGACACCTATCCCTTTCAAACATAAAGCAAAACAAATCAAAGTTCTCCACAGAAAAACAATGGCCCTAAAAAGTTACATGAGGACAGAATAGTCCCCACCACCAACACTGGCTAGTCCAACGGGCATCAAGGAGACAGAAGAGTGATGTAAGACCTGAACTGAAAGAGATGAAAATCAGGAACATCACAGATCACAGGAGACAGGAGCAGCCCTTTCTCCAACCTTTCCAGTGGGAACTGTCCATCTCTTGGCACAGCCTGTTGATTCTTTGGCAGATCCCAATCTTACCAGTCTGCCTGTCCTGAGAGTGAGAGTCAGCCAATTAAGTAGGAAATGGAGAGTGCTCCAGAGGTCCTCAAACTTAATGGCATTTGCCCTTTTGATATACTTAGTACTAAATGACTGGGACAATTCTACATTACCATATTTGGCTGTGTGGTCCATTTGATCACTCCATCACGAAATTCAAGTTCATACATTTACCAATTAGCAGAGCCCTACTTTCTTAACAGTACACAGGCAAGTCCTGTTACTCAAAATGAAAACAGGGAAGTTTACGAGTCAGTTTTAAACTAGTAAATCTCTAGGTATGTTCTCCATGCAAATTCAGTGACAATCAGGAGGAGAGTCCCTTCATATGTTTACTTTCATCTTCAGAGTAAAATTAGTGTGGAAGATTAAGACTTTTCCTGAGCTAAAATCTAGTCAACACCTGTCATTTGTACCTAACACAAAATTTGGGTTTGAAATTCCAAAACAATTGGAATTTAAGAGAATATTTTTTATTTTGAAGAAATAAATTCATGTGATGAAAAATGCAAGAAAAAATACAAGAAAAAAATTAGATAATGAGAGAAAAGACATCCTTTAAAAATTATAATATTTTGCAAGTGGATGGGGTGTTGTTGGGATCTATTCCATTAGTAGAACATTTCCTTAACCTGAAGAAGGACCTAAAGCTACAAGAATAAATAAACTATTTCAACTGTGAAAAAAATACAAATAGGACGTCCCTAACCAAAGCATCAGAAATGAAAACTTTCTGACAGCCCCCAGTGGGAAGCCCCATACATGACACCTGTGATGTTTCAGCTACAGCACAAGTACACTAAAAATTACACGTGGAATTATCTCAGGCTGTGCAAATAAAGGGTACATGAAACACAAGTGACTTTTATATTTAGACCTACATCTCATCCCCACTATAACTTATTATTATATAATAATTTGCAAATATTCCAAAATCTGAAATAGGCCTAGCCCCAAGCTCTGCATACAGCAGCTACTCACATTGCTAATGTTTTGTTGTGTCATCTTGATTCTCTGAATTTCGGGAGTATCTACCACAGTGGAATAGTTGGAAAGCATTTTCTCAGCTTCATCTTTATACTTTTTCTAAAAATACAAAATTATATAAATTGAAATCTCTGTATGGACAGAGGAGGGGATATGGTGCCACCTCCAACTCTACCACACCACATGGCTGTGACTTACAACTGAAGATTCAAAGTAGCTGTTAACACAACCACCAAAATCAAGGTTGTGAGCACACCATCTGTCACAGCAACCCCACTTCTATGCAGGCTATCACACTCGGCCCAGACCATTCAGAAACCTCAGAGAGATTGACTTCCATGTCTTTCCTAAACCTGGGACCTCCTCTTCTATGTGCGAGCAAACTCAGTCTCTGCCCAGGATCTCCAGAGCACTTCTGCAGTGGCCCAACTTCCTACATCTACCTTGTTACAAGCTTCTGGATTAATGCTTCATTTGCTGCTTTTTCTAAAGATCTGTGGCTAAGGAAAACATGCTATGATTTTTTATAGTTAAGGGTATTAAACATCTCAAGTTTCTCCCCAGTAAATGAGCTACACAATGAGCTCCTTTAATAAAACCCGGGTTTATCCTTCATACCAGAACACATAACGTTATGATATAGTTGACATTGTCTCAATACCAAACACATATTCACTTATTCAATCAATTCCACAAACATGTATCACCAACAAACGGGTTAACTGAGGCACCAGCTAGCAATCATGGGAAGTCAGACTCAACTCAGGCACTCTAGTTAGTGTATTAACCATATGGCAAAGAGCCACTTGCTAAGCAAAGTTAAGTATTTGAATGCAGCTGTCATTGTACCCTTCCTCACTGACTCATGTGTCCATTGCCTGCTTCATGCCCTTGCCTAAGATTTGCACTTAGTTCACAGAGATATAACCAGTGTCTCCAAGTTCATTGTCTTCATGTAGCATGAGGAACGAGGGACAGAACCCATGACTTTAGGACTATTCCAACTGCTGCGCAGGCCTAGGTAGCTGACTGAGGGGCAGACAGGTTCTCCCACATTTCTACTCCACCATCTTCATACTCCCTCCTTGAACCAACTGATATTGAAACTGCTTTGCTTTGACCAGAATTTGAACAAATGTACCCAATTTGGGTAAAAACTATTTTTATCATAAAGTCCATTAGTCAAATTTAACTACTGGCTGCTACAACAATTTCATGCTTTTCATTCTCCTCTATTACTTTTTCCACTGGGATGTACTTTTCAGGTAAATTTTATAACAAAGATATGATTAAATAATGCATATTTTCACCCAAATCAGATTTTATAAGCAACTTGTTCTTCTCTATATATTTTCTTTTGAGATATTATCTTTCTCACTTTTAGTTTTTTTTTTTTAAAAAAAAAGAAGTATATGTCTTTCATTTCCCATTATTGCCTACTGGGTTCCTCTTCCCCCCTCCCATCAGTACCTTCCCCTACACACAGCCTCCTTTCAGTCCCCACCTCCTGTGTGTGCATGTGCGTGCAAGTAAGTGTGCGTGTGTGTGTGAGTGTGTGTGTGTGTGTGTGTGTGTGTGTGTGTACTTAAATCCAGGTTCTTCGTATGAGAGAAAACATGTAATATTTATCCTTCTGAGAATATACTGCCCGTATTTATACCCAGCCATTTCTTTTGTTTTAATGAAGGCTATTTAAAATAGCCTTGTGAAATGGATATAAAAGATTTTTATAATTATGTTTCTGTTGTATGAACAAACAATATTCAAGGCAAGTATATAATAAAGTTAGAAATAAAAAATAAGGTCAAAATGTTCTTGACCTCAAAAAAGAGGGGCCCACTGGGACTTTGACACTCATAACGGCTCCTAAATTGGATTTGTAATCACTGACTTCTAGTTAGTATTGTTAGTCAAGTTTGGTAGGGAGGATCTTAATAAAAGTGTTCTAACTTTGAAGGCACTTTTGAGGTCTCTAGGAAGATGTCAATCAAAAAGACTCTGGACTCACAGTGACAGGATTAGCATACATTAATGCAAACATCTTCATCCTCTACCGACCTGGCTGTAGATTTCAGATGCCCTCTTGGCTCGAAGCATATCTGGGATATCCATATTCACCTGCATTCCTTTTCCCTTAATTTCATTCTCTAAGTCTTTCTTATATAGCTTCTAAAAGAACAGAAAATATCTCAGCTCTTTGCTTAACTTTGCAGGACCATGCTGCTATTTACGTGTTTTAACAGAAAAGTGACATTTACTGTCCTACAGGAGCTTCAAGTGAGACTTTGTGTCCATACCATCCTTACCTGGCTTGCCATCTCGGATGCCCTCTTAGCTCTCCGAACATCCAGAGTATCTGCACTGACCTGCATTCCTTTCCCTTTAATTTCTGTCTCCAGGTCTCTTTTATAGTCCTTCTGTAGAAAAGAAAACACACAGTGCTCTGCAATCACTTCAAAATGGTGCTGACAAAAGCATGATGTCATTTTGACATCATGACTACATGTTCCAGAATTGGGTTAGACCTTATTCTTTTATTTCTTTGTAACAAGATAGAAGTATAATGTGCTACTGCACATTGGTACAGAACCAGGAGGCTCTGTCTACTAAGCTGCATTAAGAAAAAGCACAGGAATAGATTGAGGAAACTTCTATATTCCAACGATAAACTTGAAAATTTATTGGTAACTATATAATTCAGTTGATGATTATCAATAAAGTAACTATGAAATTGTTGTTATTCTTGATTATTGCAACTTACTATACATCCACTGGACTTATGTAACATTGGCCCAAGTCTCTGGACCTTATGGGACTTAAATAAACCATTCTACCCCATCCTTGGTTCTATGTGGTTGGTTCAGAAATAGGTGCACTCACTTCCTTTACCATGAAGTATCTCAGAAGACCCTTTCTTTTTCTTCCTGGATATTAATGACAACAGATTCACCCTGTCTGGTAACTGAGTCAGAAGAGAACTGAACCATACCATCCTTAAGCAATGCGTAACCTTTCCAAATGACTAGGCACATTCTTATAAAGGTGTCACTAGGCAACTCCATCCTTTGTAGGAATAAAACACCTCCAAGTTTGGAAGGCTTAAAACAGCAAATGATAACAGCTTCATTCCAAGAGAACAAACCTAAACTTTTACACAAGAAAGCCCCTGTTCAAGTCCAGTTTGCTGATGTCTCATGGGCTATAGAAAGCCCACAGAAATGGTACAAGCTTGACTGTTGGAGGACACTGGTGTAACAATATATCACATTTACACTATTTTTAAACTCCACGTTGGATATTAAAAACCAATAGCAAAATCCCGAACTTTAGTTGCAAAGGATTTGAGGGCCTGTCTATTTGGTAAAATGGAACATGAGTAACTAAGAGTACCTTGATAACAGCATCTCAGCATCTCCAAAATCTCCTTGGGCCATATGGAACACAGGTGACTCCCCTAAGCCTATTTCCTCCTCAGTTGTCACTAACTAAATTCACACTACTATCCTAGCAATTTTATAAAAGAGAGAGAAAAATTGCAACTAGTATACAAAAATGAGTTATTAAAAAACTCAGCCTACTAAAAAATTGGGCTTATATGTCTCAGAAATCCTGCTACTAGGCAGAAGGTGAAATTCCATAGTCCTTACTCCAGAGGGATGCATTCAGTTGGCTTGAACAGTCATTCCAATGACAAAATTTCAAAGGCTCCTTTTTCTAGCCCTGAGTGGGGGTTGCAATATACTCAAATATGCTAAATTGAGCTATACTGGATGTAGCCTCTAAATCAGAATAAGAAAAAATCATAGAAGTAGGGCTGCTGCGTGAGTTTTAAAAATACACATTAAGAGAGCAAGAATTGAGACAGAATCTGGGCTAAGAATTCACTACAAAGCCATGCTATTTCCTACTCCAAACCTCTCCATATTATACTATACTGGCTTTTCAGGCTCTGTCTTGCACTCACATCCCATTATAGAAGCCTCTGACTGCATTTTGACTGTGGCCCCTGGGTGGATCCCAAGACACACCATCTATCATATATCACTCATCTAGCACACACTGATTAATGACTCGTTCCTGGGACCAGAAAGGGAGCCAGCCTACAAGTTTATTAGGAAGAATTTAAATTGGAGGCACATGTGTGGGCTAAAACTATGCCAGGAAAACTCAAGAATTTTGGGGGCACACCAAATTGAGCAAGAGTGTACTGCTCTTACCTGCCCCTCATAAGTGATGGCTACCTAACACTGTGGCGGAATGGCCCCAGCAGGCCAAGAATTTCATACATGCTTTGTGTCAAGGATCAAGGATCAAAGATTCCCTGACGTGGTTCAGTCCCCCAATGTTTGACACAGCTACCCAACTGCTTACCCATCTATCTGTTCACCCCATCTGGACCTGGACCCGATCAGGTCTGTTCTCTGAACCCCATTTGTTCCCTGCTCCTGACCACTCAGAACCCAGTTTTACCTTTACACCTCTTGTCTCTGCAGTTTAATCTCAAATCTGATTTCAACTCTGCTAGCAATTCCACCAGCAGCTCCTTCTCCACATTGATCCAGTTCATTTTTTATCTATACAGACTCTTAGCCCACTTCTAAAACCTCTTAAACTTGGAATTCTGCTGCAGCCTCTTATACTTGATTTCATAAATGTGTATTGTGTAACCATATATGTGTGTGTATATGTATGTATGGTATATAAGAGTTAGCAGTAATTAAGATAGAACAGTAATTAATTAGAATAAAGATCTTTCATTTACCTTGTCCAAGCTACCAAGGTGGGTGGGTTTTATTACAAATTATTGTCATTGAGACTGCTAAACCTTATGAATTTGGTGTTATTCACTGGGGAAAGATACAAGTGAATAACACTGTGTTTCTGACATAGCTCACTCATGACAGCATCAGTGTTGATAATGAACATGGTACCTTAGTTTGGGGCGGGGAAATGTAAATGGATGTGGTATAGCGTCACATGGTGTAACTGATGAGCAGAATCAAGGTGACATCTAAGACTTGTCTGGTACCATTTGAAGAGGCAGAAGAGAGAAGAAGAGGCAAGGGAGAAATTCCGGGTTCTGGTTTTGGCGTGCCATGTTGAGACAACAGAAGTTTCAATGGCTTCCCATTCACATCCACATTATAAAATACATAATTTTTCTTAAAGAGTTGGACTAACTATATGAAGTAATGAAAAAGAATCTGCAATAGTAAATGAAAACAAAAGAAATTATGCAGTATAACTGCTTTTAAGGTTTACTTAAGTCTGTATATACAAGATTATGCTCCCCTATATCTCACACATACAGATCTGGAAGTCTCTACAATAAAGTTCTAAAAATGGCCAATTATTCTGTAAGAGCCAGTGTCACTCCGGAGCAGCCCTAGTGAACCCCCATTACCAAACCTTGAGATCAGCAAGTCACCCTCCTTAATCTGCACCCCAGCTTTCTCTATTTCTTCTATAAAACTGTTCTAAATACTATCAAACTCCAGTGACTTGTCCATACTCTCAGAATGACTGAGAAGATTCAGGAAGCTTGGAACTTCCAGGTCTACCCCTAGAAAATGTGCACATGTTCGGGTCCCTCTAGCTTTGTTGTGCCCATGTCTTCATGTGTATTGCATGACAAGAAAGTGGCACTGAATGAATATACATGGTCATTCCAGACATATCATGTCTTCACCCAAAAGCTGACTTTAGAAATCTCAAGTGCAGATAGTGTGACAAAAGATGTCTTCTAAACTCACAATCACCTGGAAACAAAGACTGTACTCACATATTAAAATCTCAACATGTGTTTTCTATGTTTTCCTCAAAACATTGGAAACACAAATATGCCAAGCAGAATATGAGCTATACTCCAGAAAATGCACTAGTATTTATCATACCCTAGACTAACATGAATGTGTTGTAACACAGGAATAAAATGTGTTAGGGTGTGTGTCTGTGCGTGCATGTATCTGTGTGTATTCTATTAAAAACGTCTCTGTCCAAGCTTCCTTTGATGTATTTAAAGTCTATGAGCAAAATGGAAACTATAAATTTTCAAATAAACATCATGATTTGAAATGATTTCCATTCCAAATTGGACCAGCCCACAGTTTGAGAGATTCCATGCACAATCCAGTTGCTGATATGATTTGTTGAGCACAAAAATAGGAGTTTTGAGGTCTGTGTGATCCTCTCCACTCACCTCACTGGCTATCTTGGCAGCTTTTTTGGCACGTTGTATTTCAAGGGTATCGGTGTCAATTTGCATTCCCTTCCCTTTAATCTCTGACTCCAGGTCCTTCTTGTACTCTTTCTATAAAAGCAACATTAAACACAATTTAGTCACCCTGTGGACAACATATACTTGTAGTCAATGATTTAAAGAACAGCTAATGCCGGGCATTGGTGGCACATGCCTTTAATCCCAGCACTTGGGAGGCAGAGGCAGGCGGATCTCTGTGAGTTCGAGGCCAGCCTAGTCTCCAGAGCTAGTGCCAGGATAGCCTCCAAAGCTACACAGAGAAACCCGGTCTCGAAAAACAACAGCAAACAACAACAACAACAAAAAAAAAAACAGCTAAACATTTTTAAATGACCAAAAGAGAGCAGTGAGATGGCTCAATGGATAAAGTACTTGCTATACAAGCATTAGGATTAAACTTTAGTTCCCCCAGAAGCCACGTACACTAGACTAGACAAATCAGTAAGCTCTGGGTTCAGCAGAGACCCTCAAGTTAATAAAGTAAGAGAGCAATAACAAAAGATACACAGGGTCTACCTCTGGCCACATACCATATACATGAACAAACACGCATACATGAATGTCCAACACACACACACACATACACACACATACACACACATACACACACACACACACACACACACACACACACTTAAGAAGACAAAAGAAAAAAGGGTGAATAACCAATGTCCAAGAGAATGGAATGCTTATTACTATGCATAATCACCCAGGGCTAAGTAATTTGGGGAGTATACATAATTAGCACCACTATTCTCACCAGAGACCTTTTTATACTGTCAAAAGAGCAATTGTTGACTGAGAATCTTCATGGAGTACACCATGAACAGACAAAACGATACAGATGGTTTCACACTATAAGAAGAAGACTGACAATGAGGCCAAAGACCTCGGCATCCAAGCCATGTGACACTACAGACGATTCCTACCATTCCTTCTTGTCTATGAAATGGGGATAAGCATCATTCCATAGGAGATGCACAGTGAGGAAAAAGAGGCAGCAAACACAGAGCCCATCATCAGTAGGGCTTAGGAATAGAAGGATGGCTTTCTCTAGTCTTTGTTTCTATATGGCCACTCCAGTCTCTTCCTTTAACCTAAAGCCTGGTTTGTTGCTCTTCCTACTTACCACTCAATATTCAACTGGATCCTACCATTTTAAGTATAAAGTAAACTCTCCAGATATAACAAGATTGATCCTTCAATGTAGACTGACCACATTGTCACACCTAAAGAAGATTGCTCAGGCTACTAGCAGTCTTCCCTGTTTCCATATGAATTTCCACTTATCAATTTCTGTGAAGAATACAAACAGGACTGTTTTCCTTCTTTACCTATGCGTATTTCCTGCTTTTATCTTATTGCTCTAGCCAAACTTTAAGCACTATACTGAACTAGAGAGGAGATAGTAGTCATCTCTGTCTTATTCCTAAGTTTAATGGAATTACTTTGAGGTTTTCATCATTTGGCAGAAATGCTATGTGATGGGGAATGTACTTCTGTGTATGTTTATCTTATTGATTGTTGAGTAAAATACTGTTCGGCCAATGGCAGCAAGTTAGGCAGGACTAGGAGTCAAAGCGAATTCTGGGAAATGTAGTAGAGAAGTGCTGATCCAGGCAGGAAGTGACATAGCGAGGAGACTCATATTTAGCAAGGAGAAACAGGAAAGGCCCCCTTTTCCCTCTCCACTCTTCCTCCAGTGGAGCAATGTGATCCACCAGCAAGGAGGGACGCCAATAAGGTTTCCAATAAGATAAGTCTTATAAAATATATAGATGTATGATAATTGAGACTGAGCTGAGCTAACAGTCGAGAATCCTAGTCATTGGCCAAGCAGCATTGTACCTAATAGAAGTCTGTGCATTATTCTGTCCATCCATGCGGCATGCAGAACTCGGGCAGCTGACAGAGACCACCCACATGGCGGGAGGGCTCAGGTGGCTTTGGCAGAAAGATTTATCGTAACAGCTATGGGTTTGACATATCTAACAGCCTTGATTATGTTAAGGCATGTTCTCTCCAATCCTGTTGCCTCTAGGACTTTTATTATGAAGGCATGTTACACTTTGTCAAAAGAATTTTCTCCATCTACTATGACCTTATACTTCTTCTTTAAGTCCATTTACAAGTTTTATTACATTTATCAATTTGCATATGTTAAACCATTCCGGCATCTTTGGGATAAAGCCAATTTGGTCATGGTGAATGATATTTTTCATGTGTGCCTATGTTCAGTTTGTTGTGATGTCTCCCTATCATCTCTAGTTTTAGTAATTTGGACCTCCTCTTTCTTTTAGTTAATTTGGCTAAGGTTTGTCAATCTCATTTACCTTTTCAAAGAACCATCTTGTTCATGTTGTTGGTTCTTTGTATTGTCTTGTTTGCATATTTGTCTCTAGTCCTTTAATTTCTGCCCCGGTTTCAATTACTTTTCCCATCTACAGCTTTCAGTTTGGTTTGTTCTTGTTCTCCCAAACTTCTTGAGTACATTATTAAATTATCTATTTAAAGTCCATCTCATTTTTAATGCAAGCACTCAGAGCAATACATTTCCTTTTAAATTTTTTTCATTTTAGCCCAGAGATTTTAGTAAGTTATGCTTTCATTTTTATTTAATTCCAAGACTTTTTTTTATTTCTTCCTTAATTTTCTCAAAAGTTCAAATACTCAACAATAGTTTGATCCCCATGAGTTTGCATATATATTCTGGTGTCTTTTTATTATTTAATTTTTGTTATTTTTGTTATTTATTAACCAACCTTTACTTGATTGAGTCAGATTGAATGCATGGAGTTACTTCAATTATCCTAAATCTGTTAAGATTGGCTTTGTGTATTAATATATTATCTGTTTTAGAGAAACTTCTATGGCATACTGACCAAAAAAATGTGTATTCTGTAGTGTTTAGATAGAATGTTCTGTAAATATCTATCAGGTTCATTTGGCTATGATGCCATTTAGCTTCAATGTTTCTCTGATTATATTCTGTCCATTGGTGAAAGTACATATTGAAGTCACTACTGTAACTTTGCTGGGTTAATCTGTGACTTAATGCCTAGGAGTCTTTGCTTTATAAAACTGGGTGCAGCCAACTTTGGTGGACCAGGTCAAATCCCACAGGAATATTTTGCCTATGACACAGATTTCTCTAAAGACCATTTTCCACCCCACCCCGCCTCCAGAGTATATAGAAAGATTGACTGGGTGGAATTATCTTTAATTTGCTTCCTGGGGAAAGCCTTGCTATGACATGGCTGTTTACCATCATCTACACATACAAGTTGTGTCATATAGAACCTTTGAGGAAGCAGCTGAAAATGTTCCGTTCTGAGAGGCTAAAAACAACAACAACAAAAAAAATCCACTCACCTCACTAGCCATTTCAGATGCTCGCTTTGCTCTCTGAATATCAAGGACTTCTGAACTAAGTTCCATTCCTTTCCCTTTTATTTCATTTTCCAAATCTTTTTTATATTCTTTCTATAAGACAAGAATAGAATATTTCATTTGAAGATATCTCAGCAAGTACTTTAGCTTATATGCCAGTTTACGTGTCTTCTAGAGACCACAGACAGGGGAAAATATTGGTAGGAAGGAAAAAATTAGATGCTGGCCATTCTTGCTTTTCCCATAGACATTTAATTTTCTCCTCTATCAAACTCAAGGTGGCATCCACTTTTTCCAGAGTTTCATTCTTTCTGCCAATATCTTTTAGCATTATATTGAACTTCTTTAAAGAGATAACTTCCCTTTAAGTGTTGGAGAAAATGTTAAGAACAAATTTGCTTCTTATTATTTGAAGTGATTTTGAAAATACCTACTTAATGTGGATTTCCAAAAGAACATACGGGGAAAAAATTACAAAACCAAAGGTTGCTGTAGCCAGAGGTATTTTAAGTTTGTATTTTATTCAAAGATCTGTTTAAAAAATAGAACGCCAAATAACTTCCTGAAAATTGTTGACATAGATTTTGAATGTCTATCTTAATATCATATTTTTATTTTTTAGTGTTTCATACAGTCCAGGTTGGCCTAGAAATCTCTACATAGACAAACATAACCTTGACGTTCTGATTTTTCTCCCCCTACCTTCTGAGTTCTGGGATTATAGGTATGTACTACCACACCCAATTAAGGTGGTACTGGGATAGAACCCAGGGCTTCCTGCATGCTAGGCAAGCTCTGTCAACTGAGCTACATCCCAGCCTTTGATACTATATTTTAAGTAGGCACAGCTGCTTTACAGACTCTTGTGTATAAATCATTCTCTACTGACAAACTACTTATTTCCTTATTTACTTGCATTATAAAACAATATCTTATTCCATCGAACCAAGTTTCACCTTATGACAATAAAAATTATAATTCCCTTTAATGATAAGAAATCAGGTTCCAGTTAATTCTGAAGTTCCTGTCATGTTAAATACACCACCCACATAACAAATCAATAAATTTCCTTGATTTCTCATTCAAACAATAGCTTTAGGGGACTTTATCAAGCCTTCCTGTGATTTTGGAAATAGTTCTCAGTCAAATGACCTTGATGAAAGTCACAGCCTTTCTACTCATTTGGTCATGTGACCTTTAGGAGATCTTTGAATAACTTAGTCTCCTTTTCCATCTTGATGGAAAGAAATAAGATAAATGCCCTATTAATGCCAAAGGGCAATGGAGGAAAGTCAGGCAAACTTTTGGAGTAGCCAAAGGCGTTACATAAAACATACATTTTAAAATATAAAGTGACACTTTGGAGACTCTATATAGCAATATAAAAACCATAAAGTACCCAGCATAGTATCCATTTACAGTTAAGGGCTTATATGGAGAAATTTGTAATTGTATTAAGTAATGAAGTGGCTTTTTCAATTAGATATCTCTATATAACTAACTAAAAGATTAGCCGTCATGGATGAAATACTTGTGTTCCTTTAAAATCCATGTGTTGAAGCCCTGGCACCTTTAGGAGGTAACTAGGTTTGGTGAGGTTAGAGGGTAAGTCCCAAGATGAGACTAAATGCTCCACAGAAAAAGAGAGCAGAGGCACTTTCTTCCTCTGCTGTGGTGACAGAGTCAGCAAGCAGTCATTGACAAGCAAGAACAGAGCTCTCTCTCACCTGGAGCCAAATCCACCAGCACGTTGATTTGAGGCTTGGTTTTAAGAAGCAGGAGAACTGCCTGATTTGAAACCACTCAGTCTACAACATTTTGTTATAATAGCCCCAACTTGCCCCAACTACTAATGAGTAGTTTGGTGGGCCGTTTCCTGCCCAGTTCAGACCTTCAGAATCCTAAGACCAAAATGTAATCAACTGAATCTAGCTGTGTTTTAATTATCAGAAACTCATAGCATTATTGTTCTGCATACTTCCTTCAAAAGAACTAGGGTAATATTTTCCCCATTAAGAAAGAAGAAAAGACAGAACTGTGCTGTTTTTCTGGGATTTTGTTTTATACTTTTCTTTTTTTAAATGGAGAGTGCTGGATGTCTCTACAATTTTGTTCAAATGACTGCAGAACCTGGAAAAGCTGTTGCTGCTATTGATGCATAACATACTGCCATTATTGGTCTTTTTATATAAATATAAATATATATACATATATAATTTGAAAAACAAGAAAGAAGAAAAGATTAAAAGAAAGGGACTAATCTCACTTCCTCATCTGTATGCAAATGATTGGAAGATCAGGCTTCAGGAACACAAAGAGGATGATAGTTTTAAGATATAGAATAGTAACAGGACACTCCCATTTATTTGTTATCAGTTTCAAAGAAAAACAGAAAGAATAAGAGGTGACAAAAAACACAGCACAAGAGAATTCCTATAGAAGTTAAATGGCTATTCTAGGGAATTCCAGTAATTTCTGATGCCGCTTAAATGGGAAAGGCCAGCTGTCATTTCCTTATTAAAAGTTCATGACGAGATGCCTCCAAATGGAAATCATGCTTCAATTCCTTCCACTGGCTTAAGACATTTCTTTCAAAGGAATAATTTCTTTGATTCAAAAATTTAGAATAAGATGGGATTTCATTTTTTAATACTCTACTTATACATTATATTCTAGATCACATTAGCATATAATCATGTAAATGAGCATATCACAGTAGAATCAGAAGAGCTCTAAGTTAACTTTGAGCCACTTGGAGGAAATGGATTAATTTTTTAAAGTGTTGATGTACAAGTATGTCTTGATTTATTAAAGTTATGACATTTAATATTCAACAAATTTAATATCTTAATTTTGAGCGAAATTTTAATTAGGATTTCAAGAAGAGTTCTATGAAGATAAAAGCAAAACACAGCAATGAAGTACTCTGCTCCATGCGCTAATTCCAATTTTTCCCTACATAGCAGAGAAAGAACTTTTGAATAAATCATATATTCAGACTTTCCCAAGTGAGTACCTCATTTCTGACATCAAATGTCATGATGCCACAGGGAAACTACCCAAAAGGCTGGAGGGATGGCTCAGAAGTTAAGAGCATGAACTGCTCTTCCAGAGGACCTGACTTAAGTTTCCAGTTTGGGTGTGCAAGCCTTCAACTCTAGAAGACCCAATGCTCTCCTCTGGCCTCCACAGATACTTCACTCATGAACACAAATCCACACATGAACACATAATTAAAAATTAAGATTAAAATTTTGAATTAAAGCTGAGTGTAGAATTTGTTTTATGATAACTAAACTTAAGAGAATTCAAAGAATTGGTTTTCTCAGCCTGGAAATTGTGGCACATTCCTTTAATCTCAGCATTCAGGAAGGCTGAGACTGGCAGAGCTCTTGAATTCAAGGCCAGCCTGATTTAAAAAGTTAGTTCCAGGACAGCCAAGGATGCTGCTACACAGAGAAACACTGTCTCAAAAAAAAAAAAAAAAAAAAAAAAAAAAAAAAAAAAAAAAAACCCGAAGGGAAAAAAAAAGGAAAAGAAAAAGAAAAGTGTGTTTCTAAGAACAAGGCTTAGCCTTTCACTCCAGGTGTGTTTATCCTTGAGATTTCCCCAAATGTGGAGATATATATATATATATATATATATATGTATGTATGTATGTATATGTTTGTAATTCCATGTATATTATCATATTATATATACTATAAATATGTAGTTTATATAGTATAAAATTATATATAATTATATATATGGATGTATGAGTTATAGAATCATGTTTTCATCTAATTTTTTTTATAAATCTAGCTGCTATGAAACTCTAAAACTCTCTACCCACAAAGCTTCTAAGCTAGAATCACAGTTCAAAAGCAGAATAATTTTCAAGTTTTTCCAGAAAATCTAGATAACTTTTTCCTTCAATGGCAAATAGACATATTAACTTACACTTCCCTATGTTAAAACACAAGCTCTGTTAGTGAAGGCCAGAATAAAGAGTTCACGTCCCAAATATGCAATTAGTAGAGAATTGCTAAGTAGATGTTTCTGGAGTCACTTCCTTAGTTTTACTCTTTTGTGACATATAATATAATCGTCCAAGGCCATACCTCCCTCATTAAGTTGGTGATGTACTTCACATGTAGAAATTCAGGAGTCTTGTCTAAATCCAGTGAGGACCTTCCTTTAATCTCCTTCTCAAAATCTTCTTTGTAAACTTTCTGTCAAATAAGACCACATCATATTCAATGTAGGGAACTCTAGTAAGTATAAAAAAAAAAAAAACTATGAGAACAAGCATTCATTCTCAGAACAAAACTAGTGTTTTCTCATATAATTCTACCATCTAGTCTTTATTATTCTTAATAAACTTTATTACAAAAAGCTTGCAAATAAATAAAAGCAACCTCATACACCAAAATTAAGCAGTCTTCTTAACAACAGAATAATAATTTCAGTTTTGGCAATTACATGATGTAGGTGAAGACTTCCTGTTGGGACTGCCAGTTAGCTCTGTCCCACCAGCTAGATCCCAAATAACCACACAGAGACTTAATATCAATTATAAATGCAAAGCTGGTAGCTTAGGCTTGTAACTAACTAGCTCCTACAACTTAAATCAACCAATTTTTTTATTCCTTTACTTGCTGCCATGTGGCTCACAACAACACAACTCTTCCATTGAAGAACAGAGTCACCAAGAAGCCTCTCATGCTCAGAGGAAGGTGCTCAATGTCTTATGTGACTACTCCATTTTACAGGAAGAATACAGTGCGCTCTCTGACTGGATCATCTGATGACTTCACTCAAGAGGAAGTTTAGCTCATCCCCTTGAACGAAATCTGGTGGTGTAGAAGCCAATTCAAACTCTCCAGAATGATAAATGCTCCAGACCCACTATCCTTCTCAAAGGCAGTCTTTTGTGAATCTGGGAGAACCAACTTTAAAATGAACCAAATGAACAGGAAATGGGTGATACTGTTGCTTTGTGACTTGAGCACTGAGAGTATTTCTTTGTAGATTTCTCATATGGATGAAGTTTCACCATGAGGATAACCTGGTCATAATGTGATGGGATCTTCTCTAAGTAAGAGTTCCTAGCAGCAGTTGGGGATAGTTCATGATTAAGCACATACTCATCATATGAGAAATGAATGGATGATACCTATAGTGATCCTGTTGAGGAGGATCTATATCTATAATAATCCTTGCCTTTCAGGCTTCCTGTGACATCCTTGGCTATGACTATAAAATCTAGCATTTGAGTTACACACTTGAAAATCAATGACAAGCCATGCTTTATTTTTAAAGATTTATATATTTTTAATTTATGTATATAAGTGTTTTGTCTGCATGTATCCATGTGTGCCACAGAGGCCAGAAGAGAGTACTGAATTCACTGGAACTGAAGTTAGCTAGTTGTAAGATGCCATATGGGTGTCAGATACTGACTCTGAGTCTTCCACAAGAGCAGCAAGCCCTCTTAACCACTAACCAACCTCTCCAAACCTAATAACTCATGATTTATGATTTACTTCAAATAGTGAAGTATCTATTCATCTGAAATATTCAGTAAACAGGAGACATATTTTACCAAATATTTATTTAAAATATATCATAAAAGTGATAAAATAAATAAATTGTACCTGAAATTGTTATTCATCCAAAATGAGAAGCTATTTCTAGGTCCACTATGCATTTATTACAAAGAAAAGTGACTGTATAAATAAACATATTCTCCAAAGCAGAAGGAAGGTGAAGAGAAACAAGTTGCCTCCTCACTTAGCATTTGTGTTACAGATAGTCACTCAACCAATAATGAGTATGGCTGTAAGGAAAGGCTGGAGTACGAAATGTTTAATAAGTCAATCAAGAAGCTGCACTAAAAGCATTTTGATTTGAAGAACTATAAATACACCCTAAACAATGAAAAATTATGAGAAATTGTTCTTTTTTTTAAATGCAGAACTAATTGGGATAGCATGGCTAAACACCCAAAAGCTGACATTTGACATTTCTAGGCCAATATAATTTACAAAGGATTCTTTCTGTAGTAAAACAAAGCCTGTGTGTGCATTTATTTATTTTAGCTATTTCACTTCAAAAAGCACTTTTTGATTTCCTGTCTTGCCCCACCACCATTCAGGAGAGAGAGCGGGGAGGTAGAAGGAGAGGGAAAGAGCAGAGAGAGAGACAGAGATAAATAGAGACAATAAGGAAAACACAAACCAGGGAATTGCTGGAAATAGAAAAGTTGGATAAACAATCAGGAACTACAGATGCAAGCATAACCAACAAAATACAAGAGATGGAAGAGAGAATCTTAGGTGCTGAAGATAAACTAAAGGAAATAGACTCATCAACCAAAGAAAATCTTAAATCCAACAAATCCTGGACATAAAATATCCAGGAAATATGGGACACTGTAAAAACACCAAACCTAAGAATAATAGGTATAGAAGAAGGTGAAGAAGTCCAGCTCAAAGGCACAGAAAACATATTCAACAAAATCATAGAAATTAACTTTCACAACCTGAAGAAGGACATGTGAAAGTACAAGAAGCTTACCGAACACCAAAGCTTACTGAACCTAAATAAATAAATAAATAAATAAATAAAGTCCCCTGGACACATAATAATCAAAACACCAAACATACAGAATGAAGAAAGAATATTAAGAGCAGTGAAGGAAAAAGGGCCAAGTAACATATAAAGGCAGATCTATCAGAATTTCACTTGACTTCTCCATGGAAACTCTGAAAGCCAGAAGGTCATGGATAGATGTTCTACAAACACTAAGAGACCAAAGATGCCAGCCCAGACTTTATGCCCAGCAAAACTTTCAATCATTATAGATGGAGAAAATAAGATATTCCATGACAAAACCAGATTATCCACTAATCCAGCCCTACACAAAGTTCTGGAAGGAAAACTCCAACCCAAGGAAGTTAACTACACTCACAAGAACATAGGCATTAGATAATCACTCTTTACCAAAAACCAAGGTGGGATACTCTCTTAGCCTAGATACACAGGGGAAGGCCTAGGCCTTGCCCAAAATTACTTGACAGATTTTTGATGATACCTCATGGAAGGTCTCACCCTCCCTGGAGAGTGGATGGGGGACGCCTGGGGGGGTGATCAGTGGGGAGCATGGGAGGATGGGAGGGAGAGGGAACTAGGATTGATATGTAAAATAAGATTGTTTCAAATTTAAATAAAATTTATTTTTTTAAAAAAGCACTTTTCTAGAGGCAAATTGATGGGGGACGTCCTTCTGTGTGAATGTTTATCTTATTGGTTATTGAATAAAGTACTGTTGGCCAATGTAGAAGCAAGTTAGGCGGGACTAGGAATCAAGGAGGGTTCCCGGCAATGTAGTAAAGAAAAGTCTTGAGATCCAGACAGGAAGTGACATAGCAGGCAGACTCAGAATATAAGAAGGAAATCGCTTTCTTGCTCTTCCTCTTCCTCCTGCTCTCTTCTCTACAGAGATGCCATGTGATCCCAGGAAGAGGACACCAGTGGAAGGCGTCCTTGATAAGATAAGTCTTATAAAATATATAAATTTATGATAATTAAGACTGAGCTAACAGATGAGAAATCCTAGTCAATTGGCCAGCAGCATTGTAAACTAATATAAGACTCTGTGTATTATTCTGGGTGCCCACATGGCAGCCAAGCTAGGGCGGATAGAGTAAAGACTTATTGTTACAGAATGGTGTCAGGAGTGGGATGACCCTACTCTCTGAGGTTCCCAGGGGAAGAGGGGAACCTGCCACCGGGAGCCACTAAGTGCCGCAAGCAGCCCTCCCACGACTAGTCAAGCAGCAGTAGAACGCGGGCAGATGGCGGTAGTGTTACAAACTTCCATGTAAACTTCACAAAAGCTTAAAAATGGATTTAAGCAGCAAAAGAACAGAGACAAGCATGACTTCTTCGTAGCAGCATTTTCTCAGGTGGGCTCTGTTTTGCTAGAGGCAAGCAGAGACTCAAGCAGTTCCTTTAAGAGGAGTTTCCTCTCTCAGCACTAGTGGAAAAAACTGCAGGGCTCTTTTTAGGAGGCCTGGCTAGCTCAGTGGGTAGAGCATGAGACTCTTAATCTCAGGGTAATGGGTTCATGCCCCACGAAGCAGGCAGTGGCAGTGACCACATCTCCAAGCCGGCAGCATGCTCCTTGGTGGCAGACCAAGGCAGTGAGCACAGCTCTCAGTGCTGGCGGTAAACATATCCCCGCCATCTTGGAAAGACAGCAGCTACAGCAACTGACGCTTTAATTTTAGCAGTGTTGTTTAGCAGATAAAAGACTGCATGGCTAGAAAAAGGTAAAGATTTACAGTAAAGGCAGATTCAGATGAAGAAAAACCTCTGAAGTTTTACACTGTGTTTAAAAATATGTGTAGGCTTGTGAGATAAAAAAGAAACAGGAGGAAATAGAGTAGATGGGGTGGTGGCGCATGCCTTTAATCCCAGCACTCCAGAAGCAGAGGCAGGTGGATTTCCACAGAGAAACCCTCTCATAAAAAGAAAAAATAAAATAAAATAAAATAGAATAATAAAAAAGCCATGTAAAGATGGAAAATACTCAGAGTCTGGATACTATATGCTATATTGTTGTCTTTAAATTGTTTAATTGCGGAGGAATAGGATATGGAGATGAATACTTTACATTGGTATGGATTTTCATTTATTGACACAAATTTAAGGTCAATTTTGTGATATGCATAATAAAATTCAGATTATATACTCACCTATAATAGTCACAACCTACAGTTAGGTTAGTTAGGTTTTCTAGATATACAGAGATGTATTTGAGATGGATGGATATTCTTCAAACCTTTCAAAGACCTACAGAATATATGGCATTTAAATGGTTTAGGGTTTTTCTTGACAGTGAGACACAACTGCTCCTCGCATACCAATTACATCAGAAAGGAGTATGGGCATTGAAAAAACTCGTTATGGAGTCTGCTTTCAACATGGCAAGATTAGCCATTTGGGTAAGAAACTGCTCTTGCCTGGACTGTTTGTTGTTGTGCAAACTGGACATTCAGGACCCACAAGAAAGTGACTGCTGAACTTACAAAACAAGATGAACAGTCCTGAAGGGTTCCTGCTGAAATGGAGAAGTGTGCCAGCCACACTCTGGCCTATGGGCTGAAGATGGATGCCCCAATGTTACAGAGGAACTTTTGGTGACTGTCTAGGTATTGGATGTCTCTGTCAATTATAGAGTTTATATATTATCCTTCTGTGGTCTTTGATGGAGTTGAAGACAGATAGTTATGGTTATAGTTTTCTTCAGTTATTATAAAAGATAAGTTACCCTTCTTTTTATTTAGACAGAAAAGAGGAGAAGATGGGGGACATCCTTCTGTGTGATTGTTTATCTTATTGGTTGTTGAATAAAGTACTGTTGGCCAATGTAGAAGCAAGTTAGGTGGGACTAAGAGTCAAGGAGGATTCTGGGAAATGTAGTAAAGATAAGTCTTGTGATCCAGGCAGGAAGTGACATAGCAGGCAGACTCAGAATATAAGCAGGAAATTGCTCTCTTGCTCTTCCTCTTCCTCCCAGCTCTGGAACCACCATGTGATCCGGGAAAGAGAAGATGACTGCTGCCGGTGTCTCCATAAAATAAGCCTTTAGATTAATAGTTATGGTTGATAATTAAGACTGAGCTAGCAGATGAGAAATCCTAGTCAATTGGCCAAGCAGCATTTGAAACTAATATAAATCTCTGTGTGTTATTTGGGGCCCTAACTCGGTGGGAGGAACTCAGGCAGCTTGGCATAAAGATTTATCATTACAGCAAATCACTGCAGTAAGTCATTGAGAAAGATGGCTGTGACTGGATTGGCCCAATGCTCAGCCAGAAAGAACCAAAATCCTATGTGACTCTCTCTTCGTAGAAACGTTTGTGAAAACAAAACCAAAGAACTTCCTAAGGACTTATTTAGAGATTCCTTCTAGAAAACACAGATTCAACCTACATTTAGCACCAAATGAAATGAAGCAAGCATGATTAAAGGTTAGAGCAAAGACAGGAATGGATTTCTTTGAAATCAGGCTTTTTCCTTCAGGTGCCTCAAGGAATACAGTCCGGGCTAGTTTTAAAGACTCAATGCCAATTCTAAGACAGGGGTTCTCTTCATGTCTGCTTTATTCTTTCTATATCCAAAGGTACTTTTGTACATCACCTTTATCTAAAATTTTTGGGTGTTTATTTCTCTAGCCTTGAGAATATCAATCTGGCTCAAAGAGATTCCCCTAATGGAAGCCTTGACTCTCATCAAGCCTTGCTGAGAACAGGCAAGACTGAAAAAATCTGAAGGGAAATAAAAAAAGGAATCTAATCATCAATGGCTATAATGAAAGGTACAACCTGTCTCCCTAGGAGGAGGGAAAGAGCAAATAGGGTGAAGAAAATGAGAGAGACTATCGTGAGACATGATAGTATTAAAATCCCAACTCTCCAAATTACTATTGTTTCTAAGGCCTCAGAATATATTAACCATGAATGGTGAGGTAGGTGGAGGTTTATTGGTGAGAGGAAAGTTAAATAGTCAGGGTACAAAACAATTAAGATAATCACAGAAACAGCATAATAAAAAGTTTTCAGCATGAGTCCCTGTCTCTGGCTGAGGATGCCAGGAGAGAGTAGCAGGGAGCTTGCCAGCTTCAGAGGCATGAGGAGGCTGTAAGGGTGCTGTGGGGTGTCTGTGCTGGTCCATGGAGGAGCAACAGGGAGGATGTGGGGAGGTCATGGGAAGGTTAAGGGGAAGCCATGCAGATGCTGTGAGGAAGTTATGGAGAGACTGTGGAGAAGTGGTGAGATCATAGTAATGATGAGATGGCAGTCACCCCCGAGATGTTGCTTTCATTAAAAAATAATAATAAATAAAAACGAAAGATCTTTGTTCTCTGTATCCTTCGATGAACATGGGCTTAACAGTTTTACACACTGTTAAACATCTAGAGAACACTGAAAGTCGAAATCTCTCCCTGGACTGTGGGCTTGCAACAGTGGCCAAACGTACTTCCTATAAAATGGGGAGAGCCATTAAATATCCAATGCTAGCTAACATAAAAGGCAGTGCTGCAACAGCAGATAATCGTGCAATATAAAGGTTATCCAGAAATGCTTTCTATACTACTGTCTAAATGGAGAAATGAGATTCCAGTATAATTTGTCCTCTTTAAGGTGAGCTTTTGCAGACTTCTAAACTTGGGCCAAGTTTACCAGCTCTGCCAAGTCACCTAAAACAGACAACTCACTTAGTCACCACAGGTACTGACAGTTCTTTACAAAATTCAATAAAAGACTTAAGAAGAAGTTATGATAGAAAGGGATAAACAATGCCTCTCTCTCCTTTGACTCAGATTGTCTGAGGGGCTTTTTTTTCCAAAAAGATGGATTATAGCTTCTCAACAATGCAGATGACAAACAAAAAACGCAACTGTCTGACACTATTGGTCACTGCTTCTGTCCCTCAATAGCCCATTGGTAACTACAGAAGGTGGATGCTGATTGTAAATAAAACTGGAGCCCTAAAAGGAAAGAAAATGAAGGGATCACATGGTCAGAGAAAATGTAATCTGAGGAGAAGTGCCTCTGGCAGGGTTATCTTCTCTTAGAAGCAAAGTAAACAAAACCCATTCAAGTATTTATTGGGGGAGGAGGTGTCAGTTAAATAAACTGACAAAGGAAGGAAGTACCATGATTGTGGCCAGGTCCTAAAACACATTTGCCAGATATGTGAATTTATTTAAGATAGTTTATTCCAGTGCATTACAAATGTATGGATCACAGTCTCCTCAAGCCATTTCCTTAAGGATTAAATGAGCTGATGTAGGTGAGATTCTTAGCAAGGGGGTAGGTACAAAATAAGGATTGAATTATTTAAATGTTGGTTCTATTACCATTGTATGGGGAGGGAAATAAAAACAACCAGCTCTTCATTTTTCAATTCGGTTTAAACACTCAGTTTTACACTGATACGGTTTGAAAGTGTCAATCACAGCCAATCTGAAAAGGTGTCACTGCTTTCCCCACTGCTTGATAGCTGTAGTTGTTCATCAGTAAAACTAAGGAGCAGACAAATTCAGTGATCTCTGGCAGTGAAATGCTAGATCTAGAACACACGTCAGTCCTGCAGAGCTGTGCTGAGTCTAGTATGGGGTCTTTGAGTTTCCCCGCAGAGCTGTGTTGAATCTAGAACAAAGGTCCTTAAACCTCCCCTGTAGAGCTGTGCTGAGTCTAGAACAGAGAAGTCTTTCAGCCTGCCCTGTAGAGCAATGTTGGGTCTAGAAGAGGGGTCCTTGAGCCTGCTCTGCAGAGCTGTGGTGAGTCTAGAACAAGGGTTCTTGAGCTTGCCCTGCAGAGCAATGTAGGGTCTAGAACAGAGGTTCCCAAGCCTGTCCCACAGAGCAGTGCTCTTGTCTCTAGACCCCAGTCATCACTGGCTGATTCTTTTCAAATGAGAAAACTCCAAGTATCCATTGAACTTTTGGCAACAAGCCCAGTCCCCTACCTCACTCTGCATCTTCTGAGACTCCTTTGAAGACTGATATGATGGAGTCTCAACAAACTCAAGCATGGACTTCCCCTTATTTTTCTCATATTCTTCTCTGTATTTTACCTGCATTGAAAAATATTAAAAGCATAGAAAAATAAGGGGTGTACATAGTTCACTGGCAGAGCACATTCTTAGCAAGTTTCAATTCCTGACAATAACAACAACCAAAAGCCCACGTATAGAGCAAAGCACAGTAAATGCACCCCCAATTAATCATCCTGTTTTGTGATACCAAGTGATTCTGGCAGTTTAGGGTGATGAATGGGTTCCCCAGAGTTGGGTTTTTAGTGTCATGTACACTAAATAATGTGTCCTGTAGAGGACAAATGAAATATTTGTCAATTAGGCAGAATATGTAGATATTTATTAAATACATGGGGCAATTTGTATCTATACTCACACCATATATATGTGGGTCAGAAAAGAATGGAGCAAGGGAGAAAACGTGAGCGAGATCTCAGTGACAGTCTCCATGTCTATCAGAACATCAGGAATAAGTTTAAAAAATGGCTATGATTATCTTTCCGTCAAAAGAGGAAAATGTTCCCTGGAACTCCTGAGTTTTCCCATAGATGCTAATTAAAACATAGATGATTTCCTTTTCTTTCACTATCCATTTTTTATTACTATCATCTTATGAATTACTTATTTCAATGAAAATTAATTTTATCTCCATTCTGTTTATAAAGGGAAAGATATTTTCTGTCATTTCAGGTTTTGTTTTTCTATTTTCTTTGTGTATATGTGTTTGTGTCTGTGGGGTATGTGTGTGGTGTGTACACATGTGTGTGCAAGTGTGTGTCCCTGTAAATGTGCCACAGAGGCCAGGAGAGGATGCTGAGTGTCCTGCTCTATCACCCTCTGTCTTACTTCCTTAAGACAGACAGATCTGGATATGGAGTTAGGCTGGCAGCCAGAAACCTCCAGAAATCCTTCCATTTCCATTGCTCCCACCCCACAATCTTACAGCTACAGGGGCATGCAGCCACCCCCAGCTTTTGACCTGGAGGCTAGGGATCCAGGGATAAGCTCAGGTCCTCAATATTTGTTCAGCAAGCACTCTTACTTGCTGAGCTAATTCCTCAACCTGGTGTCTTCTATTTCAGAGAGACAGAGGGGAGAAGGGAGAGCTAAAATTGTACATAAGCCAACATCATGGTTGAATTTTAGGAATATTTTTAACTAATTTCATAGAAAAGTTTTGATTGTGACTCACTTCATTCAGAATTGCATTTTAATTAATATTTGGGCTTCATTGTAGGGATCCTCTTTCCCCCTCAGCCTTTGGTCACCAGGTCAAGAGGGAAAAGAGGCAGAAGGGGCAACAGAAAGCTTTGGCAGCCCATGAGCAGGAACGGAAGCAGCCCTCCAGGACACAGATTCTGGTGAATCAGCTCAACTTTATTCCAGAGTATAAGGCATATATAGGATTGGGGAGCCTGGGGACAGATCCTAATTTGCATTAAATGGCACACTCCTATCACAGGACTTAGTATGTGACAGGGGGATCCTATATCAGAGCCCCTAGCACAGGGATCTGTGCCAAAGGTCAGTCTAAAGATCTGGCATCTGGTTTTAAAGACAGCTTTTAGATAAGGTCAGTACTCCAGGCCCAGGACATCCTCCAGTTAAGGAAAGGTAGAGGCAGTATGTTCTACTGGAGGGAGGGAGGGAACTCCATTTTGCCAAGCTTACTGAGATAAGCTGTTAGGCCATGGGGAGGCTGCAACCTCTGACCAGTCAGCAATGTCTTCCAACACTTCATAATTGTTTGTGAAATTATTTAAGTTGCATAATGGTAATAACAGTGAGCTCAACCTAAAAGAAAATTTCCAGTACTTAGAACTTTGTAATGACAGGAAAATAAACTTTGAAATTCCTACCTGTGATATAGTTTTCTTAAAGAAAATTTTAATTGATAAACAAGAGTGATGTATACTTATCATACTATATTAGAATGAAGTTTTGTGTGGGAAATGTCAAAGATAAATAAGAATTTAAGGTGGGCATAGTGATACACAGCTGTAAACCCAGCACTGGGAAAGCAGAGGTAAGAGGCTAGTTGAAGTCAAGTTACATAGTAACTCCCAAATCAGTCCTATCTTGAGGAAGAAGAGAGAAGGAGGAAGTGAGGAGCCGGGTGCAGAAAGAGAATGAAAACATATTTAAAGGCAAAACCTCTGTTGCCAAGCTTTTAGGAGGGGGTGTTGAAGTGTCAACCGATGCACTCTAGAATCCCGCTCCCCAGGAGAGAATCTCAGGGAGAATCCCTAGGTCAGGTTGGCCTGTGGACATGCCTTCAGGGAATTGTTTCATTTATGTTCACTGAAGTGGGAAGAGACACCCTAAAAGTAGGTGACATCATTCCTTAGGTTTTTGTCCTAGACTGTGTGAAGAAAGCCAATGTGAGCCGAGTTCAAGAATGTGGGCATTAATCCACTGCTCTCTGCTATGGGTGTATCTGTGTGACCAGCTGCTTCAAATTCCCACCACCTCAGCTCCCCTGCAGTGATGTGCTCTAACCTGTGAACTCAATAAACCCTTTCTCTCTTGAGTTGTTTTTGCTGGGGTATTTTATCACAGCAACAGGAAGGGAAACCGATAGGGAGAGTAATGTATTTTTAAGTCAGTATGGAATTTATGTTCCACAGACTACATTTAAAATAGTGTCAATGTTTATCTTAACAGATGCTAGAAATAGCATCTTTAGTAACTATTTAAACTTAGACTAAGAATTAAAAAACAGATACTGACCTTACAATGTGATAAAAAAGAAAGTTTGAAACTTTTTTATTTCTTTTTAACAGAATTCATAGGGTTTCAGGGTTAAAAGAAACATTAATTTAAAATACATTAGTAAGAATGTTTTCCCTTTTCAATCACACTTATAATTAAATGGAGAAACTATAATAAACCTTATACCAAGAAAATTAATTTTGTAGCTCAAAAATGTCAAATAAGCACTCTGTAAAATTTTAAATCATCATGAGATTTGATCGCAGTTTAATTAGTTCTGAGATTTAAACTTTTTAATTATATGAAGAACTTATTTTTGTGAAACTTCTTTAAGTTGAAACATGGTTCCAGCTCCCTGACCCAAAAGATAGAAATTAGAGTCTTGGATTTTTTTTTTCTGAAGGAAAATTAATGTTCTTGGACTCCATTCTTCCAAGAACATGTCACTGAGCAGCAGGCAACCCAATGGTCACGTGGGTGTGAGGGGTGGGCAGGGGTCAAAGAGCTCACCTGACTCTGGAGGATGGCATTGCCTTTATGGTGCAGGTGTTCACTGGCCTCCGCATCAAAGTGATACAATCCTTTGTTTTCTTCAAAATTCTTTTTATATTCCCACTAAAAAGGAAACATGAAAAGAAGTTTAGAGTAAGAGAGAGTGACAAATAAAATTAAGACTTAAGGATGTAGCTGGGGTATGAGATAGCTCTTGGGAGGCCGAGACAGGAGAACTACTGTGAGTTCCAGGCAACCCTGGGCTACAGAGTGAGACTGTCTCACAACGATTCTTAGTAAAGCAAACAACATACAAGCCAGTGGGAAGGAGCTGCAGTGCTGTTATAGAGCCTGTGTCTATAGCAGCTGGCATGGAGGGGTTCTGGGACTGAGATGAATGGACAATGCAAGATGGTCTCACTGCAGGAGGTCGTGAGAAGAGCACAAGAAATATTTAGTGATTAATTGTAAACATGATATGGAGGACAGTCACGGGGTAGCAATGAAAAGCTAATGATGGATCCTGTGGACCAGGAATGGGGAAGATAGAGTGAAATATAGACCCTGCTTCTTATCCTAGGACAGATAGTTTTCAGCTGTGTCTGTAAGGAGATAGAAACAGAAAGAACGTAGTGAAAGGAAGCTAGGACGATGGCTGTAGAAAAAGACTTAGCCATGAGCAAGAATGGAAGTGATGAGAAGAAAGAGAAGCCAAGAAACAATTGAACTAATTTTCAGAATTCCAAGGAAAGGATGGGAGGCGTCAAGAAGAGGACCTGAAGAATGTGGGTACAATTTGTTGACTTTTTTTGAGTTGAAAAAATTGGAGTAGGCCCTCTACTATTTAGACACGAATGGGGATGTAAATTTGGAAGAGACCAGAAAGAGTGAGAATGACATTTTACTCTAGACCAGCATTAGTGAAACAAGATTGCTTCGTGATTTCTAACACTAGAGACCAGACACTTAGTAATTAGTGCTACTTGGAAAAGACTTCTACAAGCAAACAGTAGTCTTGGAGATTCAAGGCTACAGAGACCTACAAAAATAAAAATCAATTGCCCATGGGTTCCAGGAAAAATGGTAACTTGTGAAGAGTAAAAGGAAATATATGCAACTTTTGAAGGGCAGTTAAAAGAAGTGGCCATAAAGGTCTTAGGAGATGCTCTGAGACCAGGAGTGTAAGAGGGAAGTATGTTTAGAGTCAAGGACAAGAAGATGGAAGGTGTTGGTGAACTGCCACAGAGCTGCTGGTCCATAGGGACAAAGCTCCCAAGGGAGCCTGGGTACCTGTCACTTAGGGAGTGAGGATATGTGTCACCAAACTCTAAACAGAATGAAATCAGCTTGGAAAGGACCAAAGCAATACCTTGCCAATGTTTCACGCATTATTACATCTTGACTAAGAGAGCAACTGAGTTTGGGTTCCTCTATGAGTTTTCAATTAAAACTAAATAAAAGCTAATTCAAGCAAATGCCAAAGCCTAAACCTCAAATGATATATTAAGAAACTTTTTACTTTGTGTAGATATTTTCACAATATCTACTTACAAAATAAATATAATTTTAATGTATTAAGGCAGAGCATATTCTGTTTTGGAATCAAAGTCCATAAATAGTGAAGTGTTGAGAATTGTACTTAGAATAATGGGTATATACTAAAAATGAGCTAAAACCAAATCTTTGAACTCCAATCTGCACAAGAACTTTCAAATTTGGGGCTTGTTTTCTGTATTGAATAGTCTCTGTTGCCTCCTAGTGGAAGTTATGTAGAATAACACTGTGTATGGATTTTTTTTTAATTTATATAAAGTTACAAGAAAATTGAAAGCTCCATTTCCACAGCAAAGTGTTTCTTCAAACATTTCATTAATAGTTCTTGACAAGCTTTAAAATTACTCACTCTGCTCTACACATGACACATTAAAATTTAAAAATTCTGATATAGACCAAGACATATAGAGATGTTTAATAAAGTAGCCATTTATAAAGATCTAGCCCTGAACTTTTGCAAAATAACCAACATAAAATTTCTTCAAGGTTTTAAATAAATCCAGTCACCTTTAGACATCAAGAAAAATTCTATTCCCTTTATAAAAATATTTAAAAGAAGGCTATTCTAACTTACAACAAACCAAAGACAATACAATTTTAGTATGTAAATCATTTGGAGAAAGTCAGACTCTCTGGCCTATGTAATCATTTCTGTGATGCAGATTAAGACAGCCCGGGAAGCTAAGCTCTGTGGATAAAATGAGTAATGTGCCTTCGTTGGGGGCTTTTTGTTGGAGAGATGACAGAAACTGTGCATCTTACATTTTGATTCTCTTTTGTCTATTGTAAAACAAACATCAACATTTTGAAAAGAACTATTGCCTGTGAGGGGTATACACTATTGCTCACTTACGCATGAATCCCCATGTCCCTAGGAGAGTTAGCATGAGTGTGGGTTGGGGACAGTACAGGGCAAACACTGCCACAAAAATTCAAAAGCTGGACTGAAAAAGCAGAGGATGCGGAGGACAGAAAAAGGAATATATGAATCACAGAGAAAGGCATGACACCAGCGTACAAATGCAGGTGTGGTTAGGGTGTGTGTGTTGGTGGAGAGGTGAATGAGGACAAGGCAGGACAGTGTAATTTAAGTGTCCTTGACACCAAGGTTAATTCTGAGTCTGCCAACATGGATCTAACACCAGAAACAGTAATATACTGCTTTTGACTTAAGACCAATCCTTTTAAAGTAAATTAAAAACTAATCTCTGCACGTGTGAACCACTTACATGCAGTGTACCCCTTGAGAAAGCTGGTGGAGGCGACGTGCAAAAAGAGTAGACACATACAAATAGCAAATGGTGTTTTGCCAATGCTAAGAACTGGAGCTCCTTTAGGACTAACACTTAGACATCTCGTCTTGTGGCTTTATACTAAAGACTGTGGGCTCAGCTACTAAAAAGACTACCTTCATTTTTCCTTGCACTTTAGCCAACATGTATTTCTTCATCTGATCTGGATTATTGTGTACATTAGGGTGCTTTTAAGCAAATGGTTGATTATTATCAAAACATTTATGGAAATAACAGGGCCAAGTTAGAGTCAATCATTACCATGTGGTATCTGGACAAGTACAGAGTGGAGCCACCAGTGACAATGGGTCATCATTTGCAAGAACTAGTGAAGTCAGCATCCAGATGCACTAACGGTGGACACAGTGTCCCGGAAGAGTAGAGTTCAAAAGGACTGACGGTCGGGTCCCATAAAGATGGCTGCTCTCCATCTTGCCTCAAGGTCAGAGAGTTCAAAACTGTCCTTAATAAGTCAAAAGACCTAAAGGTCTAAAGCTTGGCTTCTGCAGGATGTTTCAGCCTTGGTAGAGGATGTCTTATCTAAATAACAACAGACTTGGGCCCAGGTGTGTTCACTCTGGACCGAGAAGTTCAGACAACAGGTATGGCTACCAAATGCCTGAAGGATTAAGGGAAGTAAGTCCATTTGCTCCTTATACATGATAATATAAGTCTTCTGCCATGTCCTCCCCTTTTGGTTGGGTACTTAAGAATGTTGAAGAATAAACTTGGCGTGTTCGGTGTTCACAGGATTGCCCTTCTGACTCGATCCTGTGTCTCTGTCTTTCTCTTAAAGCCTTTACCTACCTTTTCTCATTCCACACTCCCCATCTTAGGTACAAACCGGGCAAGTTTGCTGGCTCCAACTGTAGCCCCACAAAGACAGCTTCCCACAACTGACTAAATGAATAGTAAACACAAATATTTTCATCAGGACATAAAGCCCTCCTTGCTGCCTTGCAGATAACAAGGGATCCATCTCAAGACTAAACTCCTAATGGCCATGCGATATAAGCACAGTCAGGATTTCTCGTCAGAGAAAATACAGTTTAAACTATGACAAATGCTTGCTGCCAAAGACATAACATATCTGATACACTGGTATATCTTTCATAAAAGATCCCTGACTGCCAGGTGTGAACATCAAGTGGCTTCATTCTAATGTAGGTGAAGAAATGGGAAGAAGAGAGACAGAATGGACCAGTATCAGTGAGTGTGCTTGTACTCATGAGATTCGAGGACCTAGAAGCAAGAACCCACTTTGGGCATCACTTTCTTCAGTGGAATAGCCATATCCACTGTCCATGCTCCAGCAAACAGCCTCCAACCCACACTCTTTCAGGCAGCCCTCCTTAAACGCAGTGGGTCAAACACAGAGACATGAAAGTAGGGAAGGTACATGTTGGAAGAAGGGGTTGAACTGAAGATGCATAGAGGACAATACGGAGTGGAAGGACTAAAATGTATTTCATACGTGTATGAAGCTGTCGTTGGGTGAAAAGAAAAAGAACTCTATTAAAGAGACAATGACCATGGCATTTGTACAAGCAGGCGACTACTTTCAGTGAGTTAGTTGTTGGAGAGGAGAGGCACCAGGCACATCTAACGAAGCAGATAAGCCCGGGAGCAAACAGGAACATTGGCATCCCAGAACTACACATATCTACACTACAATGGCCAAGACAGCCCACTTACTCCACTGAGCATTTTGCTGGCTTTCAGAGCATGTTCTAAAAACAACAAATTTGGGAGATCTGAAACTGGCTCGTGCATGGTCTGAACGTCTTTCTTGTACTTCACCTACAAAAATAACATGGAACAAAACGCCATCTAGCAGAAGAAAACAGGCTTGTGTTGGCATTGTTGCTTTTTTCTTTTCTTTCTTTCTTTCTTTTTTTTTTTTTTTCAGAAGTGACAGGAGGATTTACAAGTAGCCACTAGATGGTGCTAATTCACTACAGAATGAGTAAAATGGCACTTTATGGACTTGAAAACATTTAAATTTCTTTTACTGTTTATGTATTCCAAAACAGTGGTGTTAACACACTTATGTAATTATAGTAAAAACTCTACTTTTAGAAAATAAGGAGACTCATTGCTGTATTCTTTCCATGCTGCTACAGAATTATTTTAGTTTTACTTTACTGTAATTTTAAGCTTTTGCAGCTTTGCATTCTGTAGCCATCTAAGTCTGTTTTGTTTGTTTTAAACCAACTGCTTTGGGATTTAATACTAGTAATAATAAAAAGAATCAAATATTAGTATCAAGCATATTAAACACAAACTGTATGCCCAACCCTTTAAAAAATACTTTATATATGTGAAGCAATCTTTACTAAACACCCTAATTATTGAGTATTTTATTCCCATTTGACAGATGAGGAAACCGAGGCAGAGAGAGACTGAAGGCATAATAAGATTCTCAGTGACTAGATAGGATTACATCCAGGCAATCTGACCCTCAGTCTGGAGCATTCAAGGCTCTTTTGTAGTTTCCTTTATGATTAACTCATCTCTACCCTTTTACATCTCTGCCCACATTCGAATCTTATCAGCCAGGAAAAGAAAGACTGACATCCCCAGAGGTTCTGAAAGACAAAAATACCCACTGTAGCTTCAGAGACAAACCAAGACTGATTATCGACCATAAATACTTTGTAAATGTTAATGAAAGAAAAGTCAAACTCAGCAGAGCAAGCTTCCATGACACTTAGTTTTCATGAGTAGAAAAGGTCTGTACACATTTTAACAGAGAGCAAAGTCATCTGTTTGTCAATGTTTCTGCTTTTATAGAATAAATCCTTCTAGTAAGAATTTCAATTATCATTTCTTATCCAATGAATCCTTCTTAATTTTAAGAACAAGAAAATAAATCTACCAAGAAAGCACTTAGCAAAATAAAAGTGAATGAAATTTTAAACCTCTGGCAGCACAATTCATGATAATTTCTTTTGGATAAACCTCCATGTATCAGGTAGTACTTTATAATAAACCCAATTTGTGGCTCTAATTATGAGTTAATTGTTGTCCTACCTACTAATTTGTGATAACACACATCTCTTTCCTGCAAAAGTCTATAATCTATTTCTACTCTTGATCAGACATAATAATTTTATTCGTACCACTGTTCCTACTTATTAACTAATTAGTAATCAGTAACCATTAATAGCAAATTATAATAATATACTTTTCTGGGAAAAAAAGCTTCAGGAAAATATGCTTCAGTGTTTTCAACTACAAATTGCTTGGAAATTACATGATCTTGATTAAATATCAGTAATTACAACACAGTTAGTTCTAGGAAAACAAGACTCAACAGATATTGAGAGCAATTTCTGTAGATTATAACTTACATCACTTGCCAGGGCAGTCGCGAGCTGCTGTTGCTTAAAAGAAGCACTTTCCAGTGGGTTGTAACAGTGGCTTTTCCCCTTCATTTCATTATCAAATTTTTCTTTATATTTAACCTACCATTAAAAAAAATGACAGACTGAATGAAGTCACAGATTTTGGTGGAAAAGTAACACATTAGGGTGGTTTTTTTTTTTTTTTAAGAGATCAAATAAAATCTACCTTTCAAATGAACAGTTACAAAATTTAAATTCCTGATGTTCATTCCCCCTCCGTAAAGCTTAATGAGGCATTTAGAAAAAATTTAATGTGCTACTCGAATATTGGTCATGAATGTCATTAGGCATGAACTAACATCAAATCCTCTGCTCATGAGAATTATGCATCTAAAATATAACTTTTTACATGTTGATTCCCATTTCTGTACTCCTGGAACCCAGAGTCAGATGGAACTGAGAACACACATTTCACAAAGTCTGCCACACTTAGAAAATGGGTCACTGGTACCAGAAACTGAACGGATTCTCCTTGAGGAATTATTCCAAATAAAGAATACAGTTAGTTAGTATCCATATTTCTTTGTTCAAAGACTCATTTTAAGACTATATTCTCTACAACATCCATATCTCAATTGTTCAAAGCCTAAGTTTTAGAAAACAGATTTTCTACAATGTTCTATATATGTTTCCTGACAGTTGTAGTTTTATTTTTTCTGCTTTTACTCCTCAACTCCTTTAACTCCTGCAGCAGAAAAAGTCTGTTTAATATTCATTCTAAATTTTTTGTTTCTTTAGCCATAAGACAACAAGAAAAGGGCTGTCACCTCAGAGTTATTCCTTCATGGATGCATATTATAGACAGGAATGTGGGGACAAGTTCTCTCCACGAATAGATAAAGAATGCTTTAGCTACTCATGTCTCACATGCCCTTGACGAATGCTGTTAGAAAATCATGTACATATTTCAAAAGTAAAAATAAACTGTTTTGGGCTTTCAAACTGTTTTTATAATTTTACAATGTTTTTAAAATATTTAAATTTTGTTTTCTTATAATATACTCATAAAGCGCATTTATCCACATGCTTTAAGGCTCTGAGTCCTTATTAAACAGAATTGGAAAATGACTGTTTTCATGGCTTGTTTGGGGTGGTGGTCTTCTTCAGGGATGCTTGCCAGGTGTCTATGAGAGGAGCCCGTGAAGCTTTGGTGGGAGTACAGCTCTGAAGAAGTATCAACTGTATGCTCTATTTAAACAAAATCTGATTTCCATGCTGCCTGACACATTTATTTTAAATAATTGGTACAGCATTTCAAAATGGAAAAATAGATTTTTTTTTTTTTACATCTTGAAATCAGAGACAGCAGCACAAATAGAAAATGTTTAGATTTCCAACATGACTTTAATTGGCTTTCACTCACGGATCCTTCTAACTAGACCAGGTTCATGCTTGCACTCCCCTCTCTGAGCCACACTTGCTTCTGCTCAGTCACTCTGCAGGGATTGCTCTTGGGCAGTGGCTGTGCAACTCTAACCAGCTGATGGTCTGTGCCATGCTGACTGGCACCAATTTTCCAATTAAATATCCCTATTTGCTAACCTCGACCAATCTATGTGTCTCAGTTATGTAAGTGAGAAAGTAGGTCCCCTCTGACTTCCACCCCAGAGAGCCTGTCTGAGTCTCCTTTGTTACTGTGATGAAATACACCAACAACCAAGGCAACTTGGGGGAGAAAGGATTTATTCTTGCTCATAGTTCCAAGTTACAGTCCATCACTGCAAGGAGGCCACGGAGGCAGCCAATAGAGACAGCTGTTTGTGTATCATCCACAGGACAGCAGCAGAGAGCAAGGGATGAATGTATGCTCACCTCTTAGTTTGCTTTATCCATTTTATACAGTGCCAGACACCTCTGCTCATAGGTCAGTCACATCCACAAATCTGACCCACAAATTTTGAGGGATCTCCCCAATATCAATTAATATAATGAAGAAAATCCCCAACAGGCATGCCCAAAGGCCCATCTCCCAAGCATCATCCTAGCCTCTGTCAAGGTGACAATTAACAACCCCCACAGCACATTCCCTACAGTTTTTGTATGCCTAGGATTAGATCAAATGCAAAGATGATGTGTAGGTTGGCGTGAGAAATAAAAATGGTAGCTTACCTGTTCCTTAACCTGGCATTTCCTCTTCCAAGTAAATACATATTTCTGAGAAATAATTATCAATCTCTTGCCCTCAGTCTTCTGACAATTATATTAAATACAATAATAAGCAAAGTGCTATAAACATGTTTTCATTTTAAACCTTGGTTGCCTAAGTGATGTACATGAAACAAAACATAAAGAGTTTCCACCATTAATCAACTAACACAAAATTACTGCATTACTTAAAAATACACCATCAAACACTGACATACAACCAGATCTTGCCTCACAGCTTCTCCATGATTTGCACATACATGAATAAAGAGAACCAAATGGCTTACGTGGGTCAAATCTTTCACCTTCCAACTGTCTCCCCTACTAACCAAACAGACATGTTCAACATTCTGTTCCATTTTCAATCCACAGTTCACAACCTGACTGTCTATTTCTCTATTCACACTCACATCTCCCAAGAGGTCCCAGCAATGCCTTGACTGTCACTGCTTACCCAAGCATGGAACAAAGCATATACCTGCCAGTTATACCATCATTGTAGAAAGGGAGAGACAAGTGTTGATTTTAAAATAAAATGCTACTCCATCAACCCAGATCCATTGTTTTAGAAATAAATAAAGTTCTATAAGTAAGTAATGAAGTTACTTTATTTACAGAGCATGCCACCAGGAAGTGAGACTTGTAAGCACATGAATTTTCAGCTCTCAGGTACCCGGCTCCCTCATGACATCACCTATGCTAAGAGTCCCTTAGAACCAGCAAGGAGAAAAAAAAAATGCCATCAGCACAGCCATAAAAACAAATGTTAGCAACAACTGGATATTTTGAGGAGTGGACCTTAATTATCGTAGATAACAACACACCATGTGTCTAACAACACACCATGTGTCTAAAGGTACCCATCCATTCTTCCCAGTCTTTGCTAAAATTGAACTGCAAATGAATAAGGAAAACAGTAAAGAATTTAAAATAGAATTCATCACAGAAACAATCAGATTTTAAGTTTGAATTTTATAAAGAATGCTACCTGTGCTCTTCTTTTTCCTTTGTTTCTTCCTTCCTTCCTTTCTTCCTTCCTTCCTTCCTCCCTTCCTTCCTTCCTTCTTTCCTTCCTTTCCTCCCTCCCTCCCTCCTTCCTTCTTACATTTTCTTTTTCTTTTTTATTTGGCTCTTGGGACTAAACTCAGAGATTTATGTGCCTTTATTTTCTTTACAAAATAAGATAATCTCACCTTTTCATCAAGTGTTAAGAATCCAAATCCTTAAACAGACATCCACAGATTTATTAACACCCTTATCTATTTTATTACATAACCTAAAAGCCCTAGACTATGGAACTTGCCATAGGACAAGTCACTCAAGTCAATTTTTGAAACATGGACATATATACATACAGGACAATTACAAACCACATCAAGAACCTAACAGAAATGAACAGAGATCCATTCACATTGGCAACTTGGGATATGACATTTAAGCTCATACTTGGCAGTGTGAGGAGATTGGCAGAGTGTGTGTTTGCCAGGAAGGCAGAATGGGAGCATCTCCAAGCCAATTAATACCCACAACAGTTTAAGGACACTATTTATTACTAAATTTTCCATATTAAATCTTTTAAGTTTTAAACTCGTTTTTATCGATACAAAGCTATAATATTTTAACAAATACTAATTATTATATATATATTGTTTCTCTGGTGTTATAAAATGAAACCAAAATTTAATTCCTTCACCCTATAGACAAATTCTAAATATTAAGTTCAGATGACATAAGGATATAGTATCAAATTAACCTTATTGAGAACTTTTAAGTTGATGATTTTGATAATCCATTTATATTTGAGATGCACATAAACTAGTATTTTTGTCTGGGCACCTGAAATTTTATTTTACTAAAATTTCTAAACAACTGCAACATAATAATATGCATCTTCCCAATTTTAAAAGAGAAAGTTGTGGCTGTTGAGATGGCTTAATTTAAAGAGTGGGTACTGCTCTTGCCAAGGACCAGAGTTTGGCTCCCAGCAACCTTGTCAGGTGACTTACAACCACCTAAAACTCTAGCTCCTGGGGCATTGGACACTTCTGGCCTCCTCTGGCATCTACACTCACATGCATGCATGCACACGCACATACACAGATATGAACATGTAAACACATTTAAAAATAAATATTAAGTAAATGCATTTTGCAAGGGAAAGCTCACATCAATGAGATTTCAGCAATTGTTCAAATTACTATAATAGTTTGGTACATATTTTTGCTGCCTAGTCTGAGGAAAATCCCATGGATCTCAGCGAACAGTCAAACTGTGAGCATCTCTCCCATTCATAGTCTGTTGTCATCTCCTCCCCATGCATGCCTTTCCACTACACAGCCCCTGCTGTCTTGTCTTTGCCTTCTTTCACACACCTACTTCACCTCTTTGCCCTGCTTATTGAATTCCTAAACCTTTTCTGCCAATGTATGTTTGTGCCATTGCCAATGGCTCTGGAGTCAGTAAGTGCACGACCCTCAAAGTTACCTGAGAAAATAAGAAACTATATTTTTGGCCTTGGTTTCAGGTTGGTGCACCTGAGAACACACATTAAACAAGCCATTCTAGGACTCCTGTTCACTCGTTTGCCCATCTTTTCCCTTTCAGGAACTTACAGACTGTAAAGGAAAAGCAAAGCTGATGGGCACAGAAAACTTGCAACCTGTTTAAGCAGTTGATCACTCAGTGGCTACATAATTTGAGACTGAAATAATACATTTCTAAAACAGGGGCGAGGGGTCCAAATGGCAAGAGTCTTGTGGGATGAACTTGAAATGTGAAAATAAATACTCGGGTTGAAGCTTTCTTTACAGACTCACAGGGAAGACTGGATGGAGTGAAGTAAAGACCTCAGTCTGAATGATACACTCCCAAGTATCTACTTTAAAAAAAAAAGAAAGGAAGAAAGAAAGAAAGAAAGAAAGAAAGAAAGAAAGAAAGAAAGAAAGAAAGAAAGAAAGAAAGAAAAGGAGTCTTTTGGAGTTGTACCATCTGTGGGCTGGGTGTCCATTTAACAGTGCACTCACAACTCTAAGCAGCTACGTCTGCTGTCATCAGATCAGTCTTATGGAAACAGAGAACCAAAGCAACATGACCCAGGTCACTCAGCAAGCAAGTAACAGAACCATGGCGTAGCCCAGGGGGTCTTGCTCCACTGCCAAGTTTCCTACTCACTGAAAGGGGATCAGACTACTTCCATACAATCTACTATGTGGCAAATGGGAAATTTCCATCCACAGCAAAGGAAGAGAGGTACAAGAAGTCAGAAAGGGGACTGGCCAAATGGCTCAGGGTGGTGCTAGCTGCCAAGCTATAATGGCCTGAGTTTAATCTGTGGGACCCACATCGTGAAAGTTGCCCTCTAACCTCTACATAAGGTCTCTGGCACCCACACACACGTGTACACATAAACCCAAAGCAAGCCCAAGCCCTCCTGCCTTCAAGACAAGCATCAGTAGGGGTGTTCAGAGCCTCCATAGCTCTTAGGCCTTTTAAAAGAGTGTTGTCCAAGCATATCCTCAACCTCCTATGTGTTAGAAGCCTTCTAAGCCCCAAAGTTGTTTTATAAGCAAAGGCCTGACAAACTGTAAAGCAATTAACACAAGGCAAACCACATTCCTGCATCTCACACACATTCCTCCTCTCCACCTCCCTCTTCCACCACAGCCATGAAGACTTCTGAGGGGCAGACCATTTCCTGTATGATTCTTGCAACTACTCCCAACTGGCCTGTGGAATTTTCATCTCTTATAGAGACCAACCTTCCCTGTAGAGTATTGACATCTTAATTTGCCTGGAGTAATGTCTCTACATAAGCTGTCCCATCACAATTTTCTGTGATTACTTATTTCTCACCTGAAAGTGGAAGCTAACAGGGTGACAGCAGTTGAGACTGTGATAATTTGTTCTTTTTAAATCTAACTCAAAGACACAGACACAGACACAGACACACACAGACACAGACACAGACACACACAGACACAGACACACACACACACACACACACACACACACACACACACACACACACACACACACACCACCCTGCAGTACATGTGGGAATCACTTTCTCTTTTTACTACTCTACTGATAACAACATATCATTTCTATCAACAGTTGGGTTGGGAATCATTATTCAATAGCAACAGAGTTCAGTTTTACAGGATGAGGACTTGGATGCATGGCAGTGATGGTAGGTACATTATGAATTAATTTAATACCATCAGGCTTCAAATGGTCAAGATAGTAAATTGAATGGATGCTCTGGAAAACACCAAGACTAAATGTAACTTGGGGAGGAAAGGGTTTATTTCATCTTACAGCTATCAGGTAACAGACCATCGCTGAGGCAATTCAGGGCATGAGATGCAACAGAGATGATGTAGGATGAAGAAATGATGCTGACTGGCTTGCTTCATTGCCTCTCCTATACAGCTCAGACCCACCTACCCAGGGGTAGTGTCACCCATAGGAGACTGGGCCCTCCTACGAAGTAGCAATCAGGAAAATGCCCCTAGAGACATGCTCACAGGGTAAACTGATGGAGGCAGTTCCTCAGTAGAAATTACCTCTTCCCAGACATGTCTAGATTTGTGTCAAGTCGAGAAAGTATATTGATATATGAAATATAATATCATAAGCTAATATAAAAAAGGAACACATTATTTCTATTCTGCTCTATAAGCAATGCCATATAGTCAAAATTCATGTAACATTGACCCTTTTGTCATTAAAGTCCTCCCAAATTTCCATTTATGGCTATAACAGATCCCCCTTGATTCAGAGGCCCTGCTGCAGTCCTCAGTAACCTTCCGTTGTCCTTTATTTGAGCAGATTTCTCTCCCTTTGAGCCTAACTCAAAACTACCACCTCCACAAAACCTTTCTAACGGCATGTCCTGCTCCCCCTCACTAGCAAGAGACAGAATGCGTTTGGGTACAAATGACATTTCACTTCAACTCTTCCGTTGGCGTTTATTTTTCTCCTAATAAATGTGAGCATCTTTCCACATAGTTATTGGCCATTTATGTTTCTTCCCTGTAGAATCCTGTTCATCTCATTTCTTACTCTTTCTGCCAAGCTCTTAGATGTTTTTGTTCCACTTGAAGAACTTATGAGGGTGCTGGAGAGACAGCTCAGCAGTTGAGAGCACTGGTTGCTCCTGCAGGGGACACAGGTTTGATTCCTCATACCCACAGGGTAGGTCACAGCCACCTATTACTCCAGGCCCAGGCCATCTGCTAACATCTTCTGTCCTTCAGAAGCTCCCTTAGGGACTTAGAATTTATTTTATACTCTTCAGTCATATTTTAGACCTTTCTCTATTTATAGTGCTCCATTTTGAAGTATAAGAAAAGGATTTTTCCCAAAATTGAAAACTAAAAATACATTTTATAAAAAAGTTTGTTAACATTATTGTTGACTCTGTCACTTTCCCCTGAATAAACTTCCTTATTCATTTACTTACTTACCTGAAGTTTTTGAGACAGGGTCTCATGATGTAGCCCAGATTGGCCTTTGAATTACACTCCTCCTGCCTTGGTCTCTTGAGTGTTGAAATGACAAGTGCAGGTCATTTCAGCAGAGATTTTAATCTTTGTGCAACCACTGTTTCTGATTATTCCGTTAGAACGTCTGGACCTCTGGTCTCATTAAAATTTAAATATTGTGTGCTGCATAATGATCCTGAATTTACTGTTAATATTTTAGTTATTGTGCTCCTATCTTTCAGTTTGTTCATTTGCCTTGGTTTGTTTTGGTTTGGCTTTCCCTTGTTTTCTTTGAGGTGGGGTCTCATTCTGTGGTACAAGCTGACCTCAGACTTTCTGCCTCAGCCTCTTGAACCCTGGGCTTATAGGTATGCAGCATCACACTTGGCTTGCATTCATATTGTTAATCTACCTGGGATTCATTTTTGGATAGAGTTAAAGATGCGGACCCAATTTTCTTTCACCACAATGGGTGGCCAGTGACATTAGCGCAATTTATTAACCTGACTAACTTTCCCCACTGATTTGAGTCAATACTTTTGCCATACATTAAATTCTTAGACATACTGAAATCTATTTTGGGAATATTATTCTATCCCATTGATTATCTTACCTATCAATATATACTAACACCATACTGACTTATTCAAATGGTTTTCTATTATTTCTCCTTTACTGATCTCCATCCTCATACTGCTAAAGGCTCTTTCAGGCAACCCCTGTCCACAGAAACTTTAAATTTATTTATATATATATATATTATATATATATATAATATATATATATATATATATATGATAATTCTGAAAAAAACTGAAATTTTAACCTGCAAAACTCTCAATTTTTTACTTTCCATGTTTGTGGACTCTTCAAGTCTTAGGTTCTGAAGCCAAATTTCAAGGTCTTCTGTATTATATCTTGCCTGTTTTATTTTCTAATTAAGGAAAATATTTTTAAATTGAAAAAATATATTATTGCTAAGTTAATATTGTATGTATGTCTATTTTAGGTATATGTGCATAAAAATATGATTCTTGGTACTGGCTCTCACTATCTGCAAATACAACATGGCTGAACTTATTGAAACAGGTTGGGATGTGAGCCCAGAGGAAAGAAACCTTGGCTTTGTTCTGAGAGTTAAACTTTTTTCCCTCTACTGAAACTTGTAATTATTGCAATCCTAGCTGAAGCAACTTCAGGAACATTACCTCTGTTTATTCTTACAATTAAAGATACTATCTATTTGAAATATTTTCCATGCTCCTTGAAACAAAACCTCTGAATAAAGCCATTGAAGGATCGTCATGCTCAAGTCTTACCTGACTAGAAAGTTTAGAGGCTTCCACAGCATGTTCGAAATCTGGTCTTCCAATTACAGAAGGCTCTTTATTCACTATGCCTTGCCCTTTCTTGTACTCTGCCTAAAGTGAATAATGAGGAAATTTTAATATGCTTACTTTACATTGCATTAACATTAGTCAAAATAAAATATAGTAGTGCCTTACCCCATTAAAAATACTTCATAACAAATACTAAAATAGTGACTGCTATATAGAAATTTATTTTATAGCTACTTGAGTATATTCAACTTTCAGCAGCAAAACAATTACTTATTTTAATCTAACTAGCCAGTCATCATCATCTTTATACTTATTTCTAAAAAAATACTATGGGCTTTTCTGGAGAATTGAGACTCTGCCTTCTTTACATGGATAGCACTTATTGTTTTGTCCATGGAAATAGGTACTAGCAGTTGAGTTCGTTTCTTCATGGATTTTTAAGGGGCATGGGCTATGCTATTCCAAGAGTTAACTTTAACCAGGATGTTTGGTGCACTCAAGTAAAATGGCATTAACTTGGAAGAGTATCCCAAGGGAGATAAGACACAGCCATGTATCTTATGGCATGTGGGAAATGTCAGAAGTAAGTGCTGGTAGAAGAGAATCGGCAAGTCACCAGCAACAGATGGGAAGAGGCCAAGCTGAGCTCTCTGGATGGGAGGAAGGTGAGAGATTACACGGGATCAGAAGACTGACAAGTCTGGCTTCCAAGCTGAGACATCTGAATGTGATCATATACCCAGTAGTGTGCATTCCTCTAAAAATATGCTAATACTCGATACAGTCTAGCTGAACATGGGCAATTCATAAAAAAAAACCAAATTTACATACTCAAATGGGTAATTCGGGACAAAATTGAGGTGTCATTAATGAACTGATTATATTAATTGAATTAACCATCCAATAACCAATGCTGACTCTGTCTCCCTCCAAAATAAAAAAAGAAGTCACATCTGTACAAGATCCAGAGAGATGAATTACATCGCTTATGATCTTGGAGATCTGAGTTGCCTTCTTGATATCCGGTCTGTCAAGCTCCGCTGTATATGTGTGGGTGTCCTGCGCATCTCTTCTATAAGAAATCTGATTAAAGAGACAGTTTTGAGGGGAAAAAAGAATAAGTTAGTCATTTCATTTAGCTACCTTCACTTATATAGAATTATTTCTCCTTGCCATGATAGCGTTAAGTACACACTGACCTTAAGTTACTTCTCGTGACTTTTGTCCAGATCATTCTTTTCCACTGATATATTAACTCTTTATACTATCCCGTATCTCATTAGTGTGTCTAAAATAAACTTACAATAGGAGAGCAAAAATAGGGCATAAACCAATTCGGAGGATTTTTCTACATAGCACTCTATGAAAATGTTTTGTGCCTAAGTGTGTATGCTTGTAGTCACACACACACACACACACACACAATATCCTTGGTCCCATCTGTCTCACATCCATCCATCCATCCATCCATCCATCCATCCATCCATCCAGGTGATGCAGGACAATCCCTGACAAATACACATTGTCACTCCCCGGGAAGGACAGGTAGTGAAGCATCCTCTACCCTAGTGACTACACCTTTCTCTTCCTTCCCAACTGAACTTCTAGGGTATTTATGCCTCCGAGACACTTATCTCCTAATAGATTACATCATTCCTAATTCTACCAAAGAAAAACAATTATATTAAGGAAACTTGGTGCTCAGAGTGTGCGTTAGGCACAAATCAGTCACAGGGTGAAAGGTAGAGAAGTAAAGAGAAAAACAGATGCATGCTAACAAATGTAAAGTGTTTTGGGTTGTGTGGTTTGTTACCATTACTTTGATTGACAGACAGATGGAAAGACTAGATCAGAACTACGACAGTGCATGATGACCAACATCTCCTCATCCACCTGCCTCTCTATGTAACGAATTGTGTCACAATCTACAGTCCTAGAAGTTAGATACAGTTCTGTCTGGCAGCGTTACTATTAGAATGCATTCTGCTAAAGTTATAGCGCAAAATATACGGTCCTTTTTAAAATCTACCCTTGTTTTTTCAGAACATAAAGGAGTATAATATAGATATATGAACCACTGGGTCACCTATACAAATGGCACAATATATTCCAGCAAACTTTCTGCAATGGCAACATATGGACTATTCACTTAAAATTTACAGCTCTGGGATCCACTTTCAATCCTCTAGCAGAATGTTGGCAAGTGAGGCCTAAGTATCTGATTCCAATAAATTCCTAACTGATCACTGTGACCCAGTATTGGTAGTATTGACCTACTTGTTATTTTCTTTACACCTTTTTGAGTTTAAAAAGGTAACTGCTGTATTTCCTGTTTTTTTTCAATGGCAGTAACCAGGAGTAAAAATGATCAGACATTACCACTTCAAAGGGTTTCCAGTGCACTGTATGACTTTATTTCAGTGAAATTCGAGGCATCTACTTTGTCTTTCAGGAACTTGCATTTGCCTTAACACCAAGACTATTTTTTTTAAAACTACATTTACAATCATGAACCTGTCTGACAGGTGAACATAGCTTAAACACAATTAGTATAATTTCATCATGAACATCTGTTTTCTCTGGCACCTAGATTCTCATAAGCTTTTCTATAGCCAGTTATTTTAGGTAGGTTTTATGCATATAAGTAGTAAAAGAAACATAAATATTCACCGAACACTGAGTTATTTTGTGGGGTGGATTTTAAGTGGTCAGGACTCTTTAAGCAGGGCAATTTCATTGGCTACAAATACCAATGTACCCATCTGCAAATGACAGCAACTCAGTTCCAGTCTATACTGAGTTAAACACAAGCTGTGTAAACAAAAACAAAAAAAAAAAAAAACAGTTCTCAGGTGAAAACAAACCAAAATTATTACCCACCTCCACAACTAACAGCTTCTAAGTTACCACGTTCTCATGAAAGTCACCAGGAGGGAAATGGCTTTTTGTCTAGAGAAGAATCGGGGGAAAGATGGAAACCCACACTTTTTGAAAAGAACTACAACCTTTCAGAAACCTCAGCTTTACATGGGTTACCTAATTATATGCTGTTCCGCCTAATGACTGCGTGAAGAGAGGTGAACGGTACAAAGGCAGCGGGAGCAGGATTTTGAATAGGGCCCCATCATCCATGTAAATTTGCAAATTAGAGGCCAGCATATGCAACTCAAAACAAATATTAAGATTGACATGAGCTGCACATTCAAACAAGAGGACACCACAGAGCCTCGCAGGAGAGAAGTGAAGGAACCAGTTCATCATCTTCCATGGCACCACTGATAGGAAAATGCCAAAGGAAAGGGAGGCTGCCATCCAGGAAACTCAGGTAGCAAGTTGTCCATCACACCCTCTTTTAGGATGACTGACAGTGTGTGGGGGGTGGCAGCATGACCTCCATGACCTCCATGGATTACTTGTGTGTGTGTGTGTGTGTGTGTGTGTGTGTGTGTGTGTAAGTGAATGTCAAGGTCAAAGAACAACCTCAGGCATCTTCTACCTTTTACTCTAGACAGTGTCTCCTATTGGCATGAAACTTCACCACACAGGCCAGACTTACTTACCTGTGAGTGCCTGGGATCTGTGTGCACCATTATTCTGGCTTTGTGTATGGGTTCTGGGTGTCCAAATTCTGGTTCTCATCATTGGGAGCTAAGTGCTTTATGGACTGCCTCATGGCACCAGCCCCCTAACATTTGTCATTTGGGAGGTTCTTCCTAGTCTTTCAGTGTGGTTAGTAGTATTAACTAATGCAGTAGAACCTTCCTATACCCAGTCAAGTAGCATACACATTTAGATATCATGATTAGGGCCTAACCAGGACTAGAGTCACCCACAGGACCTGAAGAAGAGGCATAAAATGCCAGCCTTCCTTCCTCTGGGGTCAGCCACTATAAACATAGCTTAAGTTAGAGACAGCCATCGACTCCCTGAGTCCTCACAGACACTGTCAGTTGGAACCAACACTGGATAGAACTGATCAGAACCAACCTATGGGGCAGGAGAGGGCTTCTTGTGAGAGCATGGTGGGGTCTGTGTCCAAGTTGCCTGAAGAAAGCTTAAACTTTCTATTTATAGTTGGGCCTCCACCTTCAATTGTAACTACACATTCTGCACCTTGGACTCATCTGTAGATTAAGAATATTTGTAAAAGAAAATTGTGTCAATATCCCCTGAGTAATGCAACCACCATTAACCTAGCATTTAAACACTTAATAAAGTATTGTGAATAATCTAGAGTTGGCCTAAAATATGGCAGCAGAAATACAAAGCTCATATTGCAAATAATACTCTATTTTTTATGAAATACCTGAGCATCCATTGATTTTTTGTATGTACAAAACTCCTGAGCCCACTCTCCCATGGATATCAATGCAATACTGCATATAAACCAATAATCTCTCCATTTTTACTTGAGGTACAGTGAGATGGATTCCCATCACTAATCCTAGAGGCATCCATTCATGGTTTTCTACAGTTATATCTGTGCTTTATAGTCTCCAATAAAGAGCTGTATTCCACCAATAGCCTGGCTCTGGGTTTTGTCTCATCTCACTATGATCATTTCTTCTCTTATGAACTTCTGCTGTCACCTAGTCTCCAAGTATTCCCTGTTTTCAGTATTTCCATTTCAGCTGCATAGGGGCCATGTCTTTTGTGGGTTCCTTCATTCATGCAGCATGCACAGTGAGTCACATACTGTGCTAAATAATTTGTGTGCACTCTTTAAATCCCCACCCTCTCCCTGTTGAGGTTTGTCTAAACTCAACTGGATTCTATTAACACTTCCTTCTAGGACCCGAACCATTCTCCAGCATCTCTTTTTTTAGTTATGGGTTAGAATGGGTTGATAAAGGGAATGCTCATGGAATTTTGAAAGTAGAATGGAAATGGATATTTGCTCTCCAAGTACAGGCAGACACAGATATGGGAGATTCACAGCAAGCTCTTCAGGATTATATAATGGTCATGTGAGACTCCTTAGCTGGGGAATTCATAAACTGAACATAAGCAAAGCCTCCATGGATGGTCCTTGAAGAGAAGGTGATGCACTTGAAGAGGAGACAGAGGTTTAGACAGCTAGTGCCTTTAGAGGACAAGCACTGTGTAAGCAGGCAGACCTGAAGGCAACTAATCTAACTGGACCAGAACCAGTCACTCTGCTACTCTAGTGAAGAGCTAAATAGTCCTCAGTGAGGAGAAACTAGACAAGAAAGAAAACTTCTTAGGTTGGTGGAGGAGAAATGAATAGTGCAGCCTACAGAGGGTTAAGGGAGGTCAGAGTTCAATTGCTCTAAAGGAAATGATGCTATCAGAGTACCTTTCTAGATACCATCAAGCTGGCCCATAGACTGGGACTTGTTTTTAAGAACTGCATAATAAATACAGCACCTCATACATACTAACAAGTACCATCAGCTAAACCACAGCCTCTAGAAAGACCCTCTTTACTCTCACTTAAATATTGTTTGTCATGAGAAAACATAAAGTGTTTTGAATATAAGTAAAGGTATGGTCTGATGCTATTCAGCAAAGAGAAAATAAGTGATTGTATAAAAGATGGAATAAATTAGTTATAGCTAGAACAATCTATCACTATCATCATCATTTTCATAAGTAATTAGATAATCAATAAACATTTTCTTATTCACAAATTTTATCTCATTTACTACCACAATCTTCTGGAAAAAGAATGGGTAATTCTAATGATTCGTTCTGAGAGATGAACCAAACATTAATATTTCTATTTTTAACACTAAATCCTAAGTTACTGTTATCCATAATCGCACAGGGAACTTCAGAAAGTAATAATTGTTTTCCTAGAATCATTTTACTGAATTATTTGCAAGCTTTTTCACTTTCTGATGGGACAGAAACCTAACTGCTGATAAGGTATTGTTAATCTTAGGACAGTACATACGTCATACTTGGAAAATAACATCAAGTCTCTTGTCTGTCCCACTGAGTATATTTTAATTCACACTGAACTAATTAGCAATACAAACTTAAAAAAGCTAACTATTCCAGTCCTATTATGAGCCTCACAACCTAGAAAACTAAAACCGACTACTTGAGGTCCACTTGGCTTAGTGCAGAAAGCCTGGCCTGTTCCCGTCTGTAGAAGATTGATGAAACATAATAATGGAACCGAGGTTTTCATTACAAGCCCATCTTTTGGGGGAAAATTACAGGAGAAAAATACCTCCAGTTTCTCTAATTATATTAGAAAAATGTGCCAGGGGCACATCCGTTAAAATATGAAAGGACTTAGATTGGCTAGTTTGAACCATTTTTTGATGATAGTATCAACAAGAGAGAGGTTTGGGGACCTTTTTGAATTTACCTTTCTGACCTAATACACTCGTCATATTTATTTCCTAGTGATTTGACTCTTTAAACAATTGAACTTTTTATTCGTTTGAGTTAACTGTCATAGCACCTAAAACCCTCAAATCACCTCACAAAGCTGGAGAAAGGCCAGATAGGCCTGCTATTTCATGAAGCAAGGAGACCCTCTGTGGAGCTCTTCAAAGGTATCATCTCATTTAAAACTTGAGTTATCCCTTGGAACTAACTAACACTGCTGCCCCCATTTGAGAGATGTGAAAGCTGTGCTCTTTGGATAAGTAACTTTCTGTGGTCATCCACACTGTTTGGCAAAGCAGTTTCATCATGATCTAATGTCAAATTCCTTTCCTAATATGTGCTCTAGTGGATACCATCATAAGAAGGGCAGCGTTTCATCTTCTGTGATCACTCAACTAAAATGTTGAGTTATGTAAGAGCTTACCTCTACCCTCCCCCCATCCCCAATACTGTTCACCTTAGTGCACAGAGTTACTTGAAGGTGAGAATCTACTTGGCCAGCAGAATCATTTGTTTCTTTGTAATACTTAAATAGAATAACTGAAAAAGGAAATCACTCTTTGGCCCACTGAAGAGCATCCTAATAAGAGGGAGGGCAGAAAAGAAGCAGCTCTGAAGGCTCCAGAACACAACTGCGTACCCTCTTGGTGGATGGATCTTAGAAAGCTGGCTTGATTTGTGTGGATATGTAAAAAGTTAACAAGTCAACTTCTACTGTTTATAGAATAATCTGATATTATTACTTATTACTTTCTGTCTCTCTTTCTCTCTCTCTCTCTCTCTCTCTCTCTCTCTCTCTCTCTCTCTCTCTCTCGTGTGTGTGTGTGTGTGTGCGCGCGCGCGCGCGCGCGCGCGCGCGCGCCTGTGCACACACATGTCTATGCCATAGCATACATGTGGAGATCAGAGAGACAGTTTTCCCCTTTCTACCATGAAGATCCCAGGAATCTAACTCAGGTCATCAAGCTTGACAACAAAACTTCACCAACAATACCATCTCGCTAGCACCCAATTTTTATTTGATATTATGTCATTTAAGTCCAAGACTAAAGTGACATTCCCCATTGCAAAAGAGTAATTCTACCAGGAAATTCTGTGTCACAGTTCTTTGTGCTGAAGTTTCCTGGGAGATAATGTTTTATGTTTCAGAGTCCTGAAGCAGGAATTGTGTGTCCTGGCTCTGCTTTTGGCTTCCACAGCCTGTGTTAGATTTCACATTGTAAGGACAGCAAGTGTATTATTCTGTGAGGCTTGGCTCGGGGGAGAATATCAACTACCTCAAGGTAGAATACAAATATCATTTTCACTCTAAATCTGAGTAAATAATCTTAAACAGTTTCTAAATCCTATTATATGTACAAACTTTGCATGTAAAGGTTGAGCCAAGTCAGCAGAGGAACGTAAGTAAACACGTGCTTTTCCCGTAAGTACACAGTACTGAATGGAGGAGGAGGAGGCATTCTGCTCTAGTCCACCCATCCCTCAATCACAGACCTTTAAAGGAAAAGACAGAGTTAAAATAATAAGCCTGGGTCTTATCCTAAGGAACTTCAGTATTTGAATTTCAGTGAACAACAGAGTTAGACAGGGCTTCTGGGACTCCATGGAACACTAGCCCCCACCAAAGGCCACTAGGCCACCTGCTAACCACCAGGCTTGCATTTGAATTCAAGGTTTCTTCAGTGTCAAACAGTGAAAACCCCAAGATCTGAATTTTTCCTGCAGAGCACCTGAATTTACATAATAACTTATATTGCTCCCACTCTCTTAGTTCTCATTTAAAATCTTGACTAAATATCAACGTCCTTTCGGAGGGAAGCAGTGATGGAACTGAAAAGGTAGAATTAGGAGTTGGATTCCTTTGGTCTGATTTCATTTGTCTACAAAATGTGGCTCAACACAGTGTTCTTTTGACAACTGGAAATGACCAGTCTTGGCACAGTGCCTGGTATGTGGCTGAGCTGTGTAAGTAGCAGTTATAAATATTATAGTCCCTCTATAAGCAAACAACACTTGCAAACCTTTCCCTTAAAATACTGGCCCTGCTGACAATTGCAGACACTTAGCTTCTTCAGCTCCCACCAGCACTAAGGTGCCCATGGGAACATTTTGGCATTGGTGAGTAACTGATGTTTGGGTCAGAAAGTCAAGCCTCACTCCAATTTTTCACTTAAACACTTACCTGCTGCAATTTAATATCAAGTAACAGTGTACACCGTGCAAAGAAACTGCTATAGTGTTCGAGTCTGAAGTGTCTCCTGCAGACTCTGTTTTGGACGTTCAGTGACAAGTCTGGGGCATGCCTTTGAGGGTTATGGAACTTTTAGAAAATGGTCCCTGACCATCAGAAGTAGAAGGGTTTGGGTGGGATTGTTGAATGTTATGTCTTTCTCTGGATCCAGTTTAGATCTCTCTGCTTTCTGGTCTGAGATCATGTAAATACTTCCATCTGACATTCCTGCCACCATGGATACAGCCACTCTAGATCCATGAGTTCCTTTCTAACATGGGACCACAAGTTCTCTAGAACCATGAACCGAATAACTCTTTCCTCCCAAAGGTTGCTTCTGACAACTATTTGGTCACAGTGATGAGAATGACAACTAAAGCACAGATACTCTGTAAGACTAGGCCCGGAAGGCAGTCATCAGAATAAACTTTATTTTGAAATGCAAGTTTCTGTTTTTATACAGATCTTACAAAGAGCACCACATGATAGGGCAGATTCTGTGTGAGATGGATGAAAAAGCGTAAGGAATGCTCCTAAGAAGGGGTAGGGAGCTTCTTGTCCCACCTAGAGCAGGATGTATCAGTGCTGATACTAGCCTAACCTAACAGTTCATACATTTTCTTTTGGAGCCCAGAAAAGTCACACTTCTTCTATAATTCAGAAGAAATTATGTTTCTAGGCTGCAATGACAGTGGTAATTGATAAAATGCATGGAAGTCTTGAAGGACTGGGTAAGTTCAAACCAAAGAAGGAATGTGCTGCTTTAACTAGCTTCTTCCCTCTTGGCTCCTGCTCCTAAGCCATTAGGAACCCGCTTTCCTAGTCTGTATCTGCTCGTATGTTATATTTCTTGAACCCCACAAGCCTTCCAAAACAAAGTGCCACAGAGAACCCTAAAACTAGAGTTTGTGATTCCTCTAGAGCCAATGATGGCAGCTGGGTTTTCTTCCAGCGCCCCTGCCATCCAAAGTAGAGACCGTGAACTTCCACAATATGTAAATAAAGTCCAGTAAGGGCTGATAACGAAACTGGTCACAGAATCCACATGTGTCTTGTTCAAAGCAAAATTTACCGTGCCTGAAAGGCCTCACAAGTTAAAGGTATCCAACAAAGGCTTTAATGACAGTCATCAGAATAATTCAAATAAAAAGTGTTAAAGCCCCTGTGACTAAAGTAACACGATCTTTTAATCTCAACAAAATAACCCTAAATCCATTCTTTCCCCCCAGAAAATTGAGAAGAATGAGCTTGCTTACATTACTCTGGCGTTTGTTGACCTCCATGGCATGTCTCACCTCCGGAGGTTCCTTCATGTGGGCGTAATCCGAGAGCCCTTTCTCAGCATCATGCTTCTGCTTGTAGGCAACCTTCAAATGCACACAAGAATTAGATCCACTTAGAGGTGTGTTAAACACCCTGTTCTAAGTTCCCATCTTTTTCTGGCTGACAGTTAAATTTGCCTGAGAGTCTATAACAAGATAATGCTCTCAGCTCAGTGCTGTAGTTTAGCTTCGTAACTCAAAAGTTGCAGTTTATCTCAACTATCCTTGAACAAAAGAGTAAAAACCCCAATTTTATTCATCTGCCTTATGTCTTGGCAGCAGTTTGGGGAAATCCTCAACAACTGAGAGCTTGCAGGTTTAAAAATGTGCAAGGTTAAATTTAGAGGGAGCATTTGACCAAATGGAGGGCAGTAAGAATGTGTCAAAGTGAATTGTTTTCTTTTAAAGATTTATTATTTTAATTAATTAATTAATTAATTAATTTTATCTATATGTATGTCTGTGTGGGAGTATAGAAGTGTGGGTACAGATGCCCAAGGAGGCCAGAGGCATCAGATACTCCGGAAGTTGGAGTTACAGGTGGTTGTGGGTATTGGGAATTAAACTCCAGTCCACTGCAAAATCCATATGCACTGCTACCTACTGAGCCATCTCTCCAGTGCCATGAATTGCCTTATGCCATGCATTGCTTTTAAATGAAAGGTTCTGATTTTATATAGACACAAATGATTGACTTATATAATATGGCTTATGATCTGATAATCATTATTAAATTTCCCAGTTAGGGAGACTATTTAACATACAGGCTAAACTCTCAGATAGGTCAAGCCTAGTCCTCCATAAGGAATACATCATCCCAATACTGTCCATTGCTACCATTCTAGGTTTGCTCTTTACTGGGCTGGATAGGGGGATGTGAAAAGATGCCTCAGAAGGTGACACAGCCAAACCTGATAACATAGCTGGGAATAAAAGAAAGTCATACAGGAAATCTTCCTTTACTCTCAGCTTTTACCACCATCTTACTTATTTCTTTCACAATTCCTATTTGTTATTTTTTGAATAACCACCTATCTCCTGCCTTCCTTTACTGAAATACACAACTGTTCAACTCTCTGAATGCACACACTCCCCAATAGCATCTGAAAAAAAAAAAACCCAGCATCAAAGAATCACCAAGTCATTACCAATTCATGACCAATGACCACAAATTAACAAATGAATAAATGAATGTAGGAATAAATGAAAATAATAACTGGAAGAAAAGCAAAATGCAATTTCAATATACACTGAGTCTAATGATGACAGGCATGTTAAGTGAACTTGAAATTGCTTGATACAAGGCAATAAAAGCAAACAAAAATAAATATTAAGACAGTATTCAACAAAAACAAAACAGAGTGTCCTCTCAGTGAAAAGAATATAGTGAAACTTAAGGAAGAATTTGTCACCAATATGAGTTCCTTGGAAGCTATTTTGGTATCTTACACATCTTTTAATATCCTGTGCTTATCAGAGTGAATAACACAGAGTAAAAATGCAATAAACAGTAAATGAATGAATAAATGAGTTTATTCAGCATTTTCATAAAGTTACACTTCTTACAGGAGTTCATAAACAGAACTGGCTACCCACTTAACTTTATTAATACAGCAGTCCAAAGGATTAGAGTGGTAAGAGTAAGACTATTTTTTTTAAACATCCATTGACTCCTACCATTTTTAAAAAGCTGTCTAGTACACTCTCAACACTTGAGTAGCTTCCCTGGCTCCACATTTATGTTTTCTTGAAAACTTTTACTACTAAATATCATTCAACCTGGAATGTCACATGTTCTAAATACTGTAAGCTCTGTTGAAAATTTTTCTTTCAATCAAACCCCAACCTGTGTCCCCAGAGATGGATCTGTGTAGCTGACAATACAGAGCTTCCAATGTGGGAACATGGCCTTCACCAGCTTCCAAGCCTCCATACTGCCCACATGGACTCAAGGGCTGAACTTCTGCACCCCCACCCCCAAGGAGCTCCCAAGATCCGATTCCCAATTAATCTTTCCTGAAGTACCTAGAATGATTTGACTTAATCTCGTGAGGATTATGTAATTAAATCCTGCTTATCATTTTCCAACTGCCAGATGATATTGACACATCTCTAGGTCATTTTCCTTCTGCTGGCTGTGTGGGAATTTCTGATAATTAACATACTTAAGTCTGATTCAGTCCTATCCATTCAGGTTCCTGTATCCAAACCTGTACATCTGGTTGATCATTACCAAGACCCAAATGAAGCACTTCATACATTCCAGTTATAATTCATCTTGCTATGGTGTGTTCCTCAGTTTACTCAGGAAGATACATAATTATGACGAACATCTTTACATTTTTCAACAATTAGTTAAATGAGAAAATGCCACACAGGTCGACAGTCCATTACCACAGTTACTTATGTTTTATATTACACCTCTGAAGAAGGGGAGAGATTAAAACTGGTGGCCAAGTCAATAAAACCATGAAAAACTTCCATATTCTGTATTTTAGACTGAATACCACACTTGTGACTTCATAAACATAACTAATGCATCCATTCATTTTATGAGTTATCCTAGCAATAGTGACTCATCTAGAACCATCTGAAAAAGCACTCTTTCTTAAAGAGGCATCATAATTTTCTACTTTCAGCTTTAAAATAGTCATTTCATTTATAGCTACTCCTAAGCAGTACTTTAAAAACTGAGCTTGCATCAAGTGGGAGGCAGCTGAACTTTAATTTATCATAGCAATTTTCTTCCTTTAAATAGCTAATGGAAATGATGTCAACGATGCCAGGCTTATATGTTTTCTGATAAATTTAATTCTTAAAGGATCTGTCATTTTGTAATGTTTCCCTAACTTCAAACTATTTCCTCACACTTTGAGAATACTCAGAGCTCTGTGAGCTGCACAGCCAAATCAGAGTGCATCTCAATAATCTCACAGTCTAACAATATGTGTGCAAGGTAATGTATTTACATTGGTCTCATGTAATTTATCCTATAGTAGATTTTCTTTGAATCATGGTTCTATGTATCCCAGGTTGACCTAGGACTCACTGTATTGCCAGGATGGTCTCGAATATTGATCCTCTTATTTCTCTGCTGAGTTCTGGGATTGCAGATAAATGCTTAGTTTTACTTCCAGTAGATATTTCTATCGCACACAGATACACACACACACACACACACACACACACACACTCATAGGATATATGCCTTTGCTTGACTTATGGACAACTTTTAAAGCATCATTCAAACAAGTGTACCATAGTTCCATACAACAGAAAACTATGAACCACAGACACAGAAGCCTATGCCACTGCTGACACAAACATGGACTCTCATAAGTCTGCTCAGTTCCAGGAACAGAGTTACCTAGATCACTTCCGTGATGCAGGAGTATTCAGCCGTTGCCTAGAAACAGCCATGAAGGCAAGAATCCCATCACTTTACTACAGCATACTCCATTCCATTATTGGGTTTCTTTAGGATCTTTATTTTTATATAAGTCATAAAATGGTCTCCTATAAGCTTTAGGACTACCATTCTCAATTTCTTCCTGCCAAGCACATTCTATAAGTAGGACCCTAGCTCAGTTTCCCTTTCAGGCTAGTTACGAGGTAAGGCTAGCTAGTTTAGTGATTCTGAGTTGTAAATATGCTGATTGTGAGTTGTAAATATGCAAAAGAGCTGTCATCTCACTCAGGAGGCAGAGGCAAGTGATCTCTGTGAGTTCGAGGCCAGCCTGGTCTCCAGAGTGAGTGCCAGGATAGGCTCCAAATCTACACAGAGAAACCCTGTCAAAAAAAAAAAAAAAAAAAAAAAAAAAAAAAAAAAAAAAACTCATTTTGACTTCAGAAACATAGAGGAAACTTAAATACAGCCAACATATAAGGCATGCTACATGAACTCCTTCTCTCAAATTCCTTATAACAGACTCCAAACTCAAATATACTGCAGGCATTTTGTTTTCTTCATAAAGCAGTCTGGCACACTGACAGTCTTGGGGTAAAGTATTCAAAAGTATATGCAACTTGATTTCAGACAAGAGTTTGTTGAAGAGTGAGGAGACGGTGGGCCATAAAAGTAATCAGTGAGACACTTTCTATTCAAGTCTGAGGATATCACAACTATACGCAGACTCTCACAGATAATAAGTCTGCTTTCTTGCCTTTTACTTCCAGGTAAATTCAGAATAGCCTTTGAAACAGACACCTTATAAAAAAATTAGTTTTCCCTTATAGTAAATCAGAAATTCATCCCAGGGGAAATATTCATAACTTGTGGTGCATACTTGCCCCCCTGTAGTATCTATCATATGAGAGCATGGTAAAAATGTACATGGTAATATCCTAACAAAAACATGGCAAATTATAAAATATCTTCTATGAATTATTTTTCATATTAAGTGCTACATTGCAAGATTTGATGTGCTTACTAAGAAGGTGAGAATATTCTTCTTTAAAAAAAAAATTGAATTCAAGTATCCTGTCTTAGTTTGGGTTTCTTTTCCTGATATGAAATACCATGACCAAAGCAACTTGGGGAAGAAAGGGTTTATCTATCTTATACTTCCACAGCACTGTTCATCATTGAATGAAGTCAGGACAGGAACTCAAACAGGACAGAAATCTGGAGGCAGGAGCTGATGCAGAGGCCACGGAGGGGTGCTGCTTACTGGTTTGTTCCCTGTGGCTGGCTCAGCCTGCTTTCTTATAGAACACAGGACCACCAGCCCAGGAATGGTCCCACCCACAAAAAACTGGATCCTCCTGAACCAATTACTAATCAAGAAAATGTCTAATAGTCTTGCTTACAGCCCCATCTTATGGAAGCATTTTCTCCTCTAGATAACTTAAGCTTGTGTGTAGTTGACATAAACCATCCAGAACATATTCCAAATTGTCACCTTACCAAGCAAAAACATAAGAATGCATTCCTTTTCTTTCTTGCATAGTTGTTTGTTACTTGTCCCACATTAAATGTTGTGTTGTAATTATATGCTTTGTTAAGTAGCCATGTCATCAACAAATAGTTAAGTGACCAGATGTTGGCAGGGCAAGTAAATGACATACTCATCACAGTCAGTCATGCAGAATCTCACCATCATATATTTTTAGAATTTTCTTGCATAGTTGAGATAGACCCACTGCCAAGCAAAGGACCCAGTGAATACTTAAATTTGTAATAATTACTTAAAGATGTTCCGAGAAGAGTTCTATGCTTAGTATTTTTCCAGAGTAATTCATTTCGGAATTATTTGAAATCCAAGGCAGTCTCTACTTAAAAGAAAAATATCTAAAGAAGAAAGTGATCTGCTGAAACAAGGCATGTGGCACATGGCTTCATAATACTACCACTTTGGAGGCTGAAGTGGAAGGATTATAAGTTCACATTCTACTCATGCTACACAGTGAGTGAGGGGCCAGCCTGGGCTACATTTGAGGCTATCTCTTTAAAATACATTCTAAAACAGAAACATATTGATTGATAAGAAAGCAAGAAGTAGACATTTCAGGAGAGGTGGAGTGCAGCCTGTGTTGAGGACTCAGACCTTGAAGGCAGATTAGCTAGCTCTGTGTGTTCTGGCTCTGGTTTCTACTGAATGTGTGGTCTTGAGAAAGTTACTTACACTCTCTGTGCTTGTTTCCAAAACCCTACAATGGGGATATCTGATGGAGTTGTTGGGAGGATCAAATGTAGAAAAGTGAAAAGCACATAGAACAGCACCTGTCCCAGCTAGCACACATGTGCTATCACAGACCTGCACTACACATGAAAAACATAAGCTATGCAGAAGGGAGTTTATCCTTAGGAAGGAAACCAACATAGTCAACTGAGTGTATAGTCCATATGTGCTGGGGACTGCTCCAAGTACCGAGCAGGAAACGAGTCCATAGAGGCTCTTCCGCCAAGTTTAGAGGGACAAATAACAGAAAATGGAATATAAACCACCATCACCATCACCATCATCAGATTGTGACATGAAGAAAACAATGAGTCAGAAAGCATCAAAATATCCTAGGTTGAAATTCTGCAGCAAGAAATTCAGGAATGAAGGACACTCAGAATTCCTTACCTGCCAATCTCCTCTAAAGGAAACCCCACCCCCCTACACTACTGGACTCAAAATGAGTTTTCATGATGACAGCCCCTCCATTTTTCTGCAACTTGGAATCATGGCAATAGCTACTTTCATCTGGTGGAGTACCTAGGAAGTAGCTGTCAATCTCCCAAAGGAAAGCACGTGCCACAGAATAAAATAGTGGAGGAGCATTAGTCTAGCAGAGGGAGAATGGACCTGTGCATGCCCTAAACCCACATCACGTGTTTCCCTGACTTTAAACTCTACTAAAATATTCTTTGTTTAGGGATCAGACATTAAATCAAGACTTATTTGAAATAGCTCTCAGAAGTCCATATGTGGAACTGTCTGGGTGATATTGGAATCAGCTCTTTAAAGAGAAATGAGTGGGGCATGATGAAACAAAGAGGTGGCCAACGACAGAGACTGATACCTTCATTTTCTGCCATTTTACCTGTGATAATTGGCAGTATAGACCAATTGCTTTCAACATCCTTTTAGTTTAACCAAACTAAAGTTATCTTTATGATAACCAAGAAAAACAACGTTCATAAAAATGCCAAATAACTTCCATAAGGTTACAAATTTGAGTCACACCTCACTCTGAAGCTGCGACACTTCTCTTGCAAAGACACTGTCAATGGTAGCCGGCATATGCTTATACAGACAGTTGGAAAGATCAGCCTTAATGGTTCCTTTGTATTTTGCCTAAGAGGGAAAAAGGGGGGGAAAGAAATATGAGCATTCTTTTTTTGCTATTGGGAATATAAAAGAAAGCTTGCCTTAGAAACATGATTGGTTTAAAAACCTGCAGGCTATTTAAATTTATGTCAATAAATCTGATAGGCATATTCTGAAAAGCAGAAATAAATCCAGTGGGTTGTGGAGAGAGCTTTAAATGTGATAAGGAAGGACATGGGACAGTTTCTGTTTCGATCTGTGCATTTCTGAAGTCTGTGGGTTGAGAGTTTCATGTGTTTGGCCAGTGAACAAATGGTCTGAGAACAATACGATTTTCTAGCCACAAAATACAAGTCATTAGAATTTACTGTCTAGAACCTAAAGAAAAACAATAGTGATGACTAGACACTGGATGACTGTGATGTTGGATAAGAGGAGCTCAGACAATTAGGTACAATAAATATATCCCTGTGTTCTACAGAACTGTGGGATGGCCATGGTTCTCAACAGATTACTATTTATTTTGTGAAAAAAAATAGATGGACAGCCAAAGTCTGCAGATACAAAATAAGGACAAGAACAAAGAAATGTTAGTGCCCCTGATTTGCTCAGGGCCTATTGTGTGTTTACTGAAACATCACACTCATCCTAGAAGGATGTATGATTTTTATCTGTCTGATAATGAAAAGTTGTTTTTAGGAGATGAAAAAAAATGTTAACTACCTGGTTCTTTTCAGAATACACTGTGTAATGTATAGAATTGTCAGATTAAATCCTCTAAACTTGGATAATTAATAATAGTAAGAGGAAGATGATGGGTATTCCTTTATTAAAACCTTCTTGGCTTCCTTTGGTCACAGTGAAAGATGGAGGCTCATTTACTCCATCCCTCCATCCTCTGTGTGTGTGTGTGTGTGTGTGTGTGTGTGTGTGTGTGTGTGTGTGTGTGTGTATTTGTCTCTCTGTGTGTGTCATGTCTGTATATATTTCTGTGCAACTGTATGTGTCTGTTTTTGTGTATGTTTGTGCGTGTGTATTTCTCTGTGTGTATGTGTGTTTCCGTGCAAGTGTGTGTGTGTGTGTGTGTGTGTGTGTGTGTGTGTGTGTGTGTGTTCAGCCAGCACTGACTATGAACAAGCTCTATCATTACTTGAAAAGACAAACACTCAGTCACCATTTCCTCTTGGGAAAATTAGGTTTTAAAGAATACAATAGGTCATCACTTGTAATTTTTGCTCTGCAGTTAACTCCTTCAGGAAAATTAATCAATCACAAATTGAGGACACCAATTTCTCTATACAGGATGAATAATGTAGCTACCACAAGGGAAAAAAATCACATTTCTTCATGCTCTGTGGATGAGGCCTCTGTAGCCCTCCCCACTCAGAGCTGATTTGGATGTTGATTGATGGTGCATATCCTTCATAGGCCTTTTGTCCCCACAGTAAAGATGTTACTAATAATAACAGAAAATGGACTGGCTTTCTCAAAATTGTTCCACATTACTAGATAATCCTGAGCGTATCACATTTATCTCTTTCCAACACAACTTACAAAACACTAGAGGTCAGTCATTTACAGCCTTATTCGTTCTCTTTTTCAAGTTCATTCACTGACTAAGGCAAATCCTCAGCATAGAGATTATGACATGCTGCTCCAGGACCCTCTGTGGACTGTGGAGCTGAATGCTGACAGGAGAGGCTATGATGCTGGTCAACTGGAAACAGAGTGTTTCCTTCACTTTGCCTTCCTAACCAGTACCTCTCTCCAGCTGAGTCTCAGCCTACTCAAAGAGCTTATTTAAAATTATTTATCAAAGATGGCATGCTTGATGGATTTAGCTGACAAATTTTACTTGTTTCCAATATGGTATTCAATTATCTATATCTAAAATATGTCCATTAGGAAATGAATAGCTTGAAACTTATAAAATTAACTACACTACCAGAATTTTCTCCTACATGAATAAAAATATTTATTTTCAAGAGCAATTCTACATAAACAATAACTATAGTCTAAATACAATATAACAACATATAACAGAGAAATATGGTAAAATCAATTAACACATATTAACTTGGTTCATAGAAATAATTTAGATATGACCAATATTCAGTGTTTCTTTCAAAATTATTCTCCAACTTCAATTACACTTTTATCCATATAAACACAAGAAACAAAAGCATGGTCCATTGGATGGCTTTTCAGACCTTACCTCAGAAATAAAAGCACCAATATTTTTAACATGGTTTAGCATAGGAGTATCAGTCACAAATGTGCACTTGTCCTTGGACTTTTTATACTCTTCTTTATAATGGATCTACAAAAGATAATTAACATAAGGTTAAAAACAACTGTAGTGGACTTTTTCTTAACAGAAAGTTAAACTATTCAAGTCTGTTTGATGAAGTATAGATGGAAATACAAGATTCTCCTCAAAATAGCCAAATCAAGATATCTGGTCCAGGGCTGCACAGGCAATGAGACCCTGTAAGAGGGAACTGTGCTTTCAATATGCAAGCAGAAGTTATCACTAAGGTTCAATCCTGGGGCCTAGGGAAATGGTTCAGTGGCTGATGGGCCTTGTTCTGTAAACATGGGGACCAGAAGTCAAATCTCTGGAACCTATGTAAAAGCCAGATAAGTGGCTCAAGCATCTGTAATTCTAGCACTCCTACAAGGAGATGGAAGGTGAGGAGGAGAACATCCTCAGGAGTTCATGGGCCAGGTGGTATTTTGAGGGGAGACCCTTTCTAAAAACAAGATGGAATGACCTATTGTCAAGGTTGTCCTCCGACTTCCACACACGTGAAATGGCACACACCTGCCCATACTCACACAAATGTGGACACATATATATCATTCACAGATATTCTCTCTCTCTCTCTCTCTCTCTCTCTCTCTCTCTCTCAGACACACACACAGAGAGAGAGAGACAGAGAGAGAGAGAGAGAGAGCTCAAACCTAAGCATATTAGCCACACAGTCTTTAGCCTGAAACAGCTGCCTACCTCAAGGTAAGAAACAAGAAGTCCTCAGAAAAGATGGAAATACTGAGATATGGGGGCAGAAACTAAACGAATGGATGCTATTTTTAGCATCATTACCTTTACAGGCTGGAGCAGAAAAGGGGCGTAAACTGTGTCCAGGACAGGCCTATTACTAATTAAGTCCCTCACATCCAACTTGCCCAATTTATCGTCACCCATTGCCTTCCTCCCATCCACCCCTGCTCAGAATGCTTTCCAGGTGGTACAAATCATTCCAGGATACCACTGTGCTATGAGTGGGCAGATTCACCAGAGAAAGCCTTCTGGTGGCTTAGTTGAGCATGCTCAGTTTTCTCAAATTCACTGGTAAAATCACTTGCTGCTACTTGGGGAGAAGCCAAAATTATTCTGTGGTGGATGGGGGTAGATTCCACATGATACATGAGCTCAAAAAGTATCAGGAAATATGGAGAAGGGTCAACAGTGTCTTCCTGTCATGTTAACTACTGGACAGTCTGAAAAGTTGGGTAAGGCAGATTTCAGAGAAATCACAAGGATGGAAATAATTTGCTGAAATTTATATCTTTCTATAATAGAGCCATGTTTATCTACACGACTATAAATACTTAGGGTGGAAAAATGTCCTAATTCACATGATAAATTATATGGTCTTCCTAATTATAATTCAAATGTGATGTTTACTTGTACCCACTACCCAACTCTTAAGAGGGCATGATTAATATTGATGTAATGGACTAACATTCCATGGAGATTTTTCCATATGCAAATCTGATTTGAGGGGCCTAACCTGACCTGAGGTGTAAACAAACACAAATACAGTAAGTAATTTCAAAATTCTATATTTCACTGCTGTGTCTCATAGATATTAATGCCTACCATATTAAACATGTGCTTTATTCATGAAATCAACAGGAGAACATATTTATCTTATCTGAGCACTAAATTACATTTTTTTCTTCTCAAAGATTAGCCATAATTTAAGGTTCCTGCAAATCTCTCTCCTCAGTCACTAGTAATTAAATCGTTAATGGCAGGATGATAAATACCAGGCTATTTTGATCATAGGGGGGAAAAGTATCCCTGTTATATAATTAACTGTGAGAAAAAAAATAGCCTATCATTAGGCTTAAGTTTGGCTCATTATTTTTATCTTCTGTCACCATCTTTCCCATCACAGTCACATTCTTCACCATAGTGGTATGTGCTTATGGCTGGAGGCTTTCTGATAGTGCCTGACAGGGACTAAATGCTCTGGACAGGAGCTGGGGATAAGGGTGAAGTATTTACTTCCTTTGTTCTGCAGGCAAATAGTTTGGCCTTGATGTGAGGTTAGTGACCTTCTTTGATCTTCATTAAAAAGTTGGGCGCATTTGCATCTTTAAATTTAAGTTGCATTTTGAAACTTAAGGTAATTTGCCTATCGCTATTCATCTTATATCACACACACACACACACACACACACACACACACACACACAAAGAGACATACACACAGACACACACACATACCATGACTGGTTCTGGGTTTCTAATGAGTTTGTGTGTATAATTTCCAATGAGTTTGTATGCATTTCCTAATGAATTCCACAATATGTATAATAAGTAAATGTTAGTAAGCTTTTATACAATTAACTCTATTACATATTTGTAGTATGCCTATGCTGGTGTGATAGGAAATGATAACTGGATGAGAACAACACCAATCAACCATACAAATTTTCATCCAGATATAGATCACCAAAGAGATGGCTATTTATAACCTCGTCTACATATTATAATCAAAGACTGGCTCCATCTATTGGTGAGATTCCCAACCAAAACCCTTCACTCCTAACACACAGATCTGACTGGGACTCAACTTCAATCCCAAGGGATAAACTGGTCTAACCCGGCACAACTGTACCATTTTCTTTGGCCCCTGATCGGCCAGGGAGGATGTAGAGACAAAGAGGTAATAGGTCCACCACAAGAGACTCAGTGCAACCTTCCCAGGTGACCTTCTAACATTCTGGGCTGACAGGAGATGCTTTGCACAGTCCTCTAACCTGGCATGCTTCTATCTTTCTACCCCAATCACAAGGGGCAGCAGCAATGATGTCATGAGATGACAAGCCAGGACACTGAAGAAGGCAGGGCAGAAGACAAGGGACCAGGGAGAATAAAAATGGGTGCTGTAGGGAGCTAAAACCACCTACATCAGATTTTATATGTGGAAACTGTCCCCTGAATTAAGCTCTTGCTGTAACTTGCAATCCTCTCTCTCATAGAAAACATGCAATCCAACATATTTAAAAATAAAAAAGTAGGGCAAAGTTGGCGGTTTCATGGTCAATAAGATGTCCTAAACATTTACTTTCCCCTTGACTTTTCCCACTAATCCCACAATGTTGCCACTAAAATTAGAGGGGAAATTGGTGCACAGTTGCTTCCTGTTCCTGCCCACAGCTTTTGATGAGTACAAGATTAGCTAGCTAATGGCTCAAAGTGGATGACAGATGTGGAAATGTTTGTGAATATTTCTTCTTATATGCATACTTATCTACATAGTCTTTGCACAAATGTAAATACATCCATTGAATGTAAGCCTTGAGGGAAAGAACTACAATTTGATCACAGCTTGTGAACTAGCAGGTCATGACCAAGGTCACTCTTCCAGGTTTTCTAATACAGTCTGGGCTTTCTCTGGAAAAGTAGCCATGGAATTTAGTGTTTTCATCATTGGAAGGATTTGTCCACAGAAAACAAGTTTATTTGCATGAAAAAAAAGTCCCCACTCCCATGCAGGTAAACACCCTGAAAGCTTTGAAATAAAATATTGAATCTGGCTGCACACAGATGAAGCCTAATTTGTTGTACACAAGGCTCATTCTGCCTCACTTATATGAAACCTAACAAAGATTCCTTTTTGCCAACCGTTTTTTATGCTTACCTATTAGAAGGTTGCTAGACCACGATTATGGATGCTCAGTCTAGCAGACAAGTCTAATTGAAATGAGGAATTGATGAGGGGTTTGACATCCAAGATCAGCTACCAGAGAGTTTAGTTAGGGAAACAACAAGTGGCACATACTTGGCCATACTTGGACAACTAAGAGGTTGTCTGGGAGGCTAGATAGATGTCCCTCAAGGCTGGAATGTGAGTTGTGCTGAGGAAACTCCATGATATGGGCAGTTCAAATGCAAAGCAGAAACTAGATGAGAAAGACATGAAGAGAGAAGGAAAAATGGGGAGAATGGGGCAATGGGAACAGGAAAGAAGAAATGTTTTACACTAATTCCCAACAGAAGCGACTTGACCTGAAAAACTGACATTTCTCTCTGTAGAGAATCCACACCATTCAGACTCCCAGGACTGAACCCCAAGCAAATCTTACTTAACATTTCTACATACTGTCCAGGAGGTATCTGGATATAGCACTCTCTCCAGGACTTCCAATGACTCCCCACTCCGGGGAGGGGGCACACTTCTCAGAGTGAAATGGCAAGCTTAGATGAGCTTCAGACACTTTCAAAGGGTGAGAAAGGAATGCAGGAAGTGGTTATCCAATCTGTCCGTCATGAACCTACAATCATTCAAACTGCTATAAAAGACAACAGGCCCAGTCTATCAGGCACAGGTCCGAAATTAGGACTGAAAATGACTCTGCTTTCCACAAGTCCGTGAATTTCCAAGTAGCATCATGAGGAGCACTGGAAACAAAACTAAATGTCATCTCACCCCTAGTCCCAAGGAACCCACAGCTAGGCTGCGGGGCACACTTCTGGTTATGATACTGATACAGAGATATATGACGCTAGAAGAGACCGAAAGAAGAGTAATTGGACCAATGGAGAGCATATAAAGGTACCCCATGCAAAGAAACCCCATTACCTCCCACACCTGTGTTGGAAATGAAGCCAACTCAAAGGTGTCTGAGTTAGCACTGGTCTCAGTTAACACTCTGCACACCACCTGAACATTGTCCCTACCAGAACTAGGCAAGTGATCTTGGACAGTCACTCAGCTTCCAGTTTGCACACCTGTGAGTTAGGACGAATGTGTCCTACACAGAGACTTGCTGTGGTATACAATATAAAATGTGTGTGGGATGCCTGGCATGTATGCAGCAAGGAAGAAAGCCATCAGGATGGCCAAGGCTTGAGGGTCATGCTGATCTTGTTTCAATCCCAGGGAACTTGCCACAAAATTGCCCTCAAAAAACAGAAAACACAGATGCATCTCCAGGACAGGATGGAGTGTAAAATGCCACCAAATCTTTTGAAGGTTCCTATTTTAGTTTAGCATGATGGCTGGAGAGTAGTGACCTAGGTTAAATGTGGGGCACCAATCTAGTCCTGCATAATTAGAAACACCATACAGTACACGCTCAAGCCTAATTCAGTGTGATAAAACATATACCTATATATATATGTAATTTTAACTCCATGGCTGATACATTTTAGACAACCAGCTGACTATGCAACTATATAGAGAAGATGAAAATTTCAAATTTAGAAATTGTATTGATATGAAGAAAAAGGAATTCAAAGTATAAGGTCATTTCCTCCCCACAAAAATACTGATGTCCCTGGATAAGATCAATTAACTTTCATTTAGTGATATTTGACTGGAACATCTAGGAACATAAACATGTAATTTATCTCATTATCTGTTTGTTTGCTTGTTTATTTACTATTTATTTTGCAGTTGAAAACCTTTAAGGTACAGAGAGACACACTGGTGCTCGACCGTATCCTCAGCCCGACCATTTGGTTTTAAAATGATTGGGTAAACCCTTCCTTTAATTATTATTTTAGAAATTAGTGTAATTTTTCAGAATCTTTATTAACCCATGTAAAAATTCTTGAAACTAAATGTCTTAGGAAATACAGAATTCTGTGACAAAATAAAATGTAAGCACATATCCAGGCATAAATCAAGGGCCAATAATCATGTTCTAAATATTTAAGTAGTATAGACATTTTGCCATGAAACATAACTCTGTAATAAACATAAATTTCTTCTGTGTGTTTGATTTCATGGCATGGAGTTTGCATTCACAACGTGGTAAGAAGGCAGTGTGCCTCCCTACAGGAAGGGTCTTATGCCACCAATAAGCAATCCTGCCCAAAACACTCCAATAAATCATCTACCTAATTAAAGCCACAGCCCAGCAATAATTACACTCCAATAAAGACATATAAAAGGCTGAAGAGGCAATGCCTTCAGAGTTGGATTTTAAGTGATGACATTGCTGCTACTACTGTTAGTCTGAGAGATAGTAGTAAGTTTTACATGGATATCAACTATGAGAAGTAACAACGGAGCAAAGAGAAAGGGCTTTGTGTTCACCTCCCTGTTTTAACCTCTGTGTGCTTCCATCTTCTTGCTTCTAAAGTGGAGGGGAAATAGGAGATCCAACATCACAAGCTACAGCCCCTGGCACATAGTGCTCAATAAGTTTTAACTGCCACTGGTGTCAAGGTCACTACTGTCATTGTCACTTTCTTACTATTGCAGCTTACAAAGAATTTTCACATGTTAAGTAAATTATGGTTTTTACTAAGCAGCAACACAAATAAAAGTTAGTTTAAAATTTAACTAGATCACATCATGTCTGGAATATGGGAAGAAGTGTGCACATTTCCATTGACTACCACCTTTTTATCAAGCATGGACAAATAGATATAGAAGTTACAGATGGAGTGGCTCAGAGTAGCTAGCATTTATGTAGTCATCACAGTGTTGTAAAGGATAGATGCAGCATTTTCCATGTATATTTCATCTTAGAATTATAAACATTACACTTGAAGACCTAAACCCACCAACATCAATAACATTTCCAAGGTTATTGTTGAGTTAACTCAGGGAAGTTGGCCTTGGAGAACTGGTCAATAAACTACCTTACTGCCCAGGAATCAAACTTTGCATATTAAAAATAACAGACGCAGACAGTTTTGCACTTGCTCCAGAGTGCAGGCACAACTGTACTTCATTTCATAGAACTCCATGGTTTTTTTTTTATGCCAGCAATTCTCTTATATTGTTTTTTGAGGATGTGGTGGGCTCTCATCCCTAGTGAGAAATACTCTTCTTTATGCCATCTAGAATTCTATTTATATATTTATCATGTATGTGTACAGGTTTACATTAAATAACTCTGGATATCCTTGGAATACAATATAAACTAGCTTCAGTTTCTTAAAAAAATGTTCCTTTTCAATGATATTATCATGTAAACCAGAGTTTTTAATGTACAGTTTCCTTAATACACACACACACACACACACACACACACACACACACACACACACCCTATATTGCAAAGAAATGTTAGGTGCAAGTAAAGGTACATGCATTTTCATGATTTGGAAAAATAATTGCATTTGACAGAAACTTCATAAGCACCATTCATTTAGCAGAAGGTCTACCATACTGAAAATCATTTTCTCAGACAGAAGCCCTTCCAAGATGAATTCTGCTACTGGGGAGTTCTCAAACACCATGCAATTCAGGGTGATTGCACAACTTAGATGAGACAGGACCTGGATTAGGAATGAGGACAATTGCTCCAGCAGAATTTTTCTGCTGATCGACCTTAGGGAAATCACCTAATATGTTTGTGTTTAGTTCTATGATCTAAAAATGACTATGCTCTAAGAGGTGACCTCAGGGTTTTCTCTCCAGCCCCATGATTCTGCACCGAAGCCATTCCATGTGAACAAAGCAAGTAAAACAAAACTCTTTAGAGCCACTCACATCACTAATGAGATCAGTGCACTTTCGGGCCAGTTCCATGCTTAGGTCTTCAATAACAGGTTTAAGAAATGCCTGTGGAAAATAAAAAGAGAAAGAAAAGGGCCATTTTCTCCTTGTCTGTTAAAGGACTAAAACCTGTTTTTAAGCAAGTTTTTTCTCACTCACCTTGTCCTCCTGATTTTCTTCCTCCTCCACCTTTTCCTCTTCAGTGTCATCTTTTACATCCTCAAATACAGGCACCTTCATTCTTACCCTATCAAAATATTAATGCTTTAAAACTTGTTGTGTCTTTTCATGGACCACCACACCCTTGTGTTCCGAAGTCACTTGGGCACTGGACGAAACACACTTGCAGGACTTTATCCCTGGCTCATGTCACTCTCCTTATCTCAATGATGTGTCAGTGAACACCGAGGATATTCAGGGTTGGCCAGGTCCAGCCTCACCAGTGAAGACTCGCATCTTCTGAGGCAAAGCTCAGCTTCACAAACTTAAAATCAACATTCTTTAGATGGCTCAAGACAAAAAATATTTTTATAGTTCACTAACTCAATTCATCAAAAAAAAAATTGGCTTAAGAGGCCTGGAAGATTCTAGAAATCTACTTAGCTATAACACCCAAGATAGCATGGCCTAAAGCCTGTTATCTCAAAAATTTCTCAACTTGATCTAAATAAAGCTTTCTCTGGAATGTCAGACATGGCTCTGTTTCCACCGAGTGAATCTGCACCATACAAAGTCATTTCATTAACTTAAATTAAATGTTTTATGAGATTTTAACATACTTCTCACATCCCCCAAAACTACTCACTTCGTATTAGCTGATTAGAGGCTAATAATTTATTGCAAAAAGCCCTTTGAACCACTTCAAAGAATCTATTCTGAGTTAATTATGACTGTTAATCTCAAATTAGGGAATAGTGTATCACATTAATTGTAAACATCATTAAACATGAGAAGTTGAAGTTAATATATGTTGATATTTTATTTAAGACTTCTAGAAACATCACTGCTTCAAAAATAACCATCCTCTTTGCATTTTGCTTGTCTCTGAGTGAATTTTCACATATTCACTAGTCATGTTTTTGTAATCTCACTGTATTCCACAATTGGAAAATTAAGAAATAAAGTGATCATTATTTGTCATGTGACGTATCTCACTAGTTCTTTTCTTTGAGACAGGGTTTCTCTGTGTAGCTTTGGAGCCTATCTTGGTACTCTCTCTGGAGACCAGGCTGGCCTCGAACTCACAGAGATCCGCCTGTCTCTGCCTCCCGAGTGCTGGGATTAAAGGTGTTCGACACCAATACCCGGGGTCACTAGTTCTTAAATTAAGAAACTAGTTTTCACAGAAAATTCTTTGTTGTCAGGTTAAGCAACTCTAAGAATCTATCACTCCTGATGTGTTAACTCAGCTGTTTAAATTTTAGGATAAATTTCCTTTTCACAAAATTATAGCATATCAGTAATCAGTAAAAAACACCATATGGTGACTTATTAAATTAATTATATAAAATGCATCTTTATCCAAAATAATATTTCATTCCAAATAGCCATATATGATACATATTTGGTATCATATCTACTTTTAAATTTATTTTAATAATCTATTACAATTTTTCAAATAAAAAAACACTGAAGTTAACCATCCCTAATGTCTACATATCCCACTGAATGTCTATTGAGGTTGAATAGTCATTCTGAAGCTATGGAGCTTCTCTTTACCTTTTACACTTCAACTATGGAATGTATATTTATGTGCTTATACTTATCAACTTTTAGAAGAAAAATGCCTCAGCCTTACCTAAACTGAAAATTCTAGTGAGCAAGAAATTCTGTCTGTATAACCATCATAAACAGATTATTTTTCAAATTATTTTCCAAAAGACAAAATATGTTCCACAGAATAGTTGATAAAAGGAAAAACAATGATCTAAAACAAATCTATTAAAGAAACCTGTAAAAGAGTTTCTATACCTGCCAAGATGAGTGCCAAATGCCACAGTGACACATGCAGAGATCTTTGATGACCATCAATCAAACACCCCATTCAGTTTGCTAAACCTCTCATTTCCTGAACATGAATCCAGCCTAACTCATCTTGTCCCATCTATTCTGCCTACCACTGTCTCTTAATGACATCTGCAACCTCTGTGAAATGTGACTGAGGAAGACATTGTTACATCTGACTGCCTTCTACAGGAATTGTTGACTTTCTCATGAAGCAGTTCTGGATAGAGGTCAAATTAAAGGCATCGCAGACACCACTTAACCAGCAAAATGCCAAAAAGAAATCGTCCCCAGAATTCTAAATGGGGAAATCTTAGATAACAGCCATGTCACACGAGCCTACAGGAAATTCTTTGTGCATTAAACTTGCCCTTAAAGAGAAGAACTGTGAGCTGTAATTGTTTCCCTCGTGTCTTCTCCCAAAAGACCATTTTAATATTTTCTATTTAATATTTTCTAGACTATCTACTGCATTACCATCAAGAAGGAAATACTTTCTATGGATGAATAATTTCTATAAACTTTTCTTGCAAACCTGTAGAAGTGTGCATGCGTGCGTGCGTGCGTGCGTGCGTGCGTGCGTGCGTGCGTGCGTGCGTGCGTG